AAACCCACCTGACCTGCCGATGGATGGAGGCGAGGGTCATCCGTCCTTCCATTGGTCCATGGTCCGGCGGTCCGGCTTTTTAGATGCCAAAGAGCACCTCCTTGGGACTATTTAGGGTCCAGGGTCAACATAGCAGGCTAATATAGTAGAACTTCTGCTTCTGCTTATAGAATACTAGCTTCCTGTTACTAGTAGCAATGGCCTCCAACCTAGAAGCGATAGCCTCCCCCTAAGTCGGAATGAGTTCAGTTGTTCCCCTGGCGATCGCCCAGTGGATGGTCGTGATTTTTCTTGGCCTGGGGGGGGGGTCTCCGGGTCTCCCTCATCCGCAGACGGGCGCAACATTCGTGGGACGAAGTCCCCCAGATCCATCGGTTGCCTTGAATCCTTTGATGCGACAGAGCGGCCAAAATCCCAAAGAAACAGATCTGAAGGAGCATTCTCCCTTCCTAGTCACAAAAATTACCCATTCTGGGCTCCTTTCCTTCCCCTTCCCTTTGTTGACTTCCGTTTCTATGCATTGCATTGCGTCGATGGGCCCCGAGGTATTGATTTTGGACCTCGAAGACCAGGTCTAGAAAGGCACCGTGGAATGTGGATGTTTCTGCGAAGCAGAAGAGGTCTCACTGACAGAAACATGAAATGCCTTTCTTTCTCTATCTTTCTCTGATTTTAAGTGATGGCAGCATCTGCAGACCGAGCAACGCCGGCAGGAGCAACTGATGGTCTCTTGAGTGACAGGTCTTTGCCTCGTGATGTCTGCCATGGCCAAAGTGCGCGAATCCCAAGCCGAGTCGTGGTGTGCCGTGGTTTCCATGCGCCATGAGTTGTTTTTCGAGTTGCAATGTGTTGCTTGCGATCTGGCGGATATGATTGTTAAGTTCTTTGCCTGGCATTCATGACACAATGACATGTTTCCATAAACTGTAGACATTGCCAGGAGGGTTATTTGCTCTCCTTGCATCTTGTCACGGGGCTTTCACTGATTTGGTGTTGTTTGCCAATGGGCATTGTTTGCTGTCCTTGCGGGACCAATAGAATCGACTTTTTCTGACTGGAGAGTAGAGTTTAAATCACACTGAGTGGGAGTTGCTAGGTTCTTTTAATCGTTGAAACCATTCATTCATGAGACACTTGAAAAGCACCATGCAAATCAAAGAGATCTCGGCTTCTCCTGTTTGACTTGCTAAGGTCAAGGGCAGCTTTCTTCATTTTCAACCCGTCACTGGTTCGCCACCTGCTTGTGTTGTCGGTCAGAACGAAGTTGAGGCGGATGCACAGTACGCATCAGTATGCATCAGTACACTTCACGAACCCAAGCAAAAGGTTGTATGGGTGGTTGAGCCGGTTGAGCGAGAAAACATATTCCCACAACTTGAAGAGCGGACCCCACTAAGACGAGCGCATTCCGAATGGCTTTTACTTCAGAAGCCCCATAGACTCACCCCGGGAGTTTCAAAGATCCAAGAAAAGAGCATGCCTATTTTTCCAGATAGGTTGGAGGTCATTGCCATTAGGTTGGAGGCATTGTTAAGTTTCCAGATCTTCAAAGAGTGTTCTTTCATCCCCGCCGTTGGACACCCCAAACTGCCGGAACTCAGGTCCGGGGTCCCGCCACATAAGGTCGGTGTCGAGTCGACCTGGTTTCACCCCAAAACACCATGTTGTAACAACGAAAGAAAGATCCAAGGTCTGCATGTTCATGGTGCATGGCCTAGAACTATATTTCATGTTCATGTTCTGCATGTTGGTGCATGGTGCATGAATCCAATGTCTCAAATCCTTCTACAACGAGGGCCGCGCCACCCTCGCAGGGTACGGAGGGAATCGGTTCCCCGACGAGGTACCCGACTCGGTGAAGCCCAGCGAAGAGGAGCTCCAGGACCGATGTCAAGCCACTCGAGCGATGCAAGCGATGCAAGCCACCCGGGTGACGGCGGATTCCACATGGATCAAGGAGGTGATGAGGAGTAGTGTATTTTATTGTATTTCAATGGTTCAACGACAATGATGATGTTAGATGTTGGAAGGCCGTATTTTTGAAGCTCCTTCGCCAAAGGAGTGGATGTTTTCGGTGTGAACGGCATTGTGGGCCCCAACGTGGTTTTGATGTGACCGGACAACAGTCATGCCGTTCTGCTTACGGGGGCTAGGGGTAATGATGTTCGGTTGGATCATCAACGTCAACATTTCATGTTCATTTCATGAACTTCGTGTTCATCTTCGTTTCAGGCACTTCATGCGCATCATCTTCATCTAACTTCATCTTAATTATAGCTACTAATTACCATACGCATGTGGATTTTGCAAGGGATATGTATGCTGCATGATCCATCATATGTCAACTTCATCTATATTTGTTTCATGCACTTCATATTATGCATCCCTGTTTAATGCAAGGCATCTTCATCTTCGTTTCAGAGAACCATGAAGGTCAAGGTGGTTCCGAAGAACTGCTGAGAGCAGTGGGAAACTTGTGCTGCGATTGCTGCGTTTGGACATGTGTGGACTTTAGCCGTGGACAAATGGTATGCCGTTGTAGTAATCGAAACGATTAACGTGTCGTCTACTGTAGACCCGTAGATTTAACCCCTCGAAAACCATCGGCATGATGACCTCCACAAAGCGTGCAGAATTCGCAGAATCAAGGCCCAAATAGGCCCAATACATCCCAAATCCCAATACAATTCTTCGAAAACACGGACCCACAGCCGTTGACACGATGTTTTCGTGCCGACCCAATGTGGAGGACGCGAAGATCATCTACTACTCCCCGTCTTGTGCACCCATCGAAGAGAAGCGATCTCAGGTGCCGACAGATATCAAAGCACAATGATTCCACCGCACGGATGTATCATGTGAACTTCCCATGATGAAAGTTCGAGATCTCCGCCTGGCGGGACGAAAGTCTCCTTTTCAGGTGGGTATGATTGAAGGCCTCATCTCATTCACTGCAATGTTTAGTGGTGAAGAAGGCACGAGATCCGAGTTTTTTCGAACAAACCATGGCTGGCAAGCGCTTGTCGCCGAATGAGAGATCATGTGTCGCATATTTGGGAGGATATGTTCAATATCAAAGCTGCTGATTTCTTTGAATTCATTGTCGCTATGCCAAACTCTTGGAGGTTCCAGTGACACGTATTGAAGCTGGCAGAGGTTCTCCCCTGATTTTTGCCAGGCCCACTGCGGCACATCCGCACGAAGCAGTTAGCCTTCAGCATCATGGAGGTCAACGGTCGATTCCAGTGCTTGTGTGTGTGTGCTTGTCAGATCTTGTCAGAAGAAACGCAGCACGTCGGCCTTCCGTCTCACTTCGATCCGCAGGTCGAACCTCAAATTTGGATGGTCCTCGTCATGCGGCACGCGGTCGTCACTGAGCTTGCAGCTAGAGACCACTTTGAACCGACATGAGGACACCTGAACCACCTCAATTGTTGTTTGTGTGAGGTTCCGCATGGCATTTCTGTCAGTCCCCTTTGCAAAGCATTGTTTTCTCTGCCCACCTGATGAAGCAAGGGCTGCACTCAGATGCACAGTGCACCAACTGGAGCCTTTTGCTTTGAACTCACCTTCCCCTGATGACCCTTGGAGAAGTTGACTGAGGCTTCTGACGGAACTTGCGATGAGGCAAGCGGCAAGAAGCCTTTCAAAGCTATCATGTGGACCTTGATTTGATGATATCGGATGCATGGTGTATTCTTTTTGTATAGTTCTGACATAGTATTGGCCTGCTATAATGCAAAACAGCAATGCTGCAAACAAGACTAGAAGACCAATCTGAGCTGAGACTGCACAGTACCTGCGAGCGCTGCAGTTGAATTGCGATATTGCGTAATTATGATTGAATATGATTGTTCGGTTCTACTGCTCAAATATATATATATATATTATACATCTATACTGTAGGTCTCCCCAGCACCCAGTTGGCAAACACTGAATCCCCAAATCTCTTGTTGGCTATCGCCGTTTCCATCCACCAGACTAGAACAGTCATTCTCATTCGGCAAAAAAGATGCAAAAAGGATCAAGAAGGCAAGAGCCAAAGGCAGCGATATCCCATCTAGGTGAGGGTTGTCGGGGCTTAGTGGCCTGACAATAGAATCCATCGAACAAGTAATCAAAAAACCGTTTGGTAACATTCTAGTCATCCGAAAAATAGTACACACATCATTAAATTACATATCCACGTGAATGCGAAGTGTTAGCTGTTCAATTCTTGCAGAAGCACGGCCTGGCCCCCTCCACCAAGCATGTTGATAAGACCCTTCTCATCACCCAGCGGTTTCAGCAGCGACACTCATCGGCGGTATAAGTTCTAGGTGCGTCTCATGTGAAAGTATGACCACCTTCCCCTAGAAAGCTACTAGGGGCTCCTGGCCTTACTGCTAGGAGCAAGGACGCTACTAGGGGCTCCTGGCATCGCTACTAGTAACAAGAAGCTACTAGGAGCAAAGGTCTGATCACCTGACCGCGCTTGTTGGACAACTTCAGGAAGGCCTTTCTGAGAAGACCCTCCAGGCGCGGCAGCGGTTTCGGCAGCATCGGCAGCATGTTTGGGTCCACCACGTCTCCGTTTCGCTCATGAGCCCCACACGTTTGGGGCCTTCTTTTGCTTTTGGATGGCAAGAAGAGTAATGAGTAATGAGTAATTCTCATGATGATAAATCATGAGTATCGGCATGAGTATCGGCAGGTGAGATCCTTGAAGCAAAAACTCTGTGCAAACGGCGGGATTCCTGCTTCCACCTCGTTGGGCTCAAGGCCTCGTGCCTTTTGAATCGACTCCACACTGGCTGAAGCCAACCAGTTATGAGGATCCTGCAGCGGACAGCAGAAACGGAGTCTACACAGTCTAGACATGGTGATAGGACAGGTTCAACACTTGTTTAGATTTGAGGACTAGTCGGATGCTTTCACTCCTAGTCTACTAGCATTCAATTCGTGAAACCCCGAGCTCACCGGGATCGGACGTTCCCCCACAGAGAACTCAGACGTTCCGCATCGGAAGTGTCTTCGGCATCAGCCTAGTGTGTGAGAGCGCCAACTCGTTCAGTGTTGCGAACGAGACTTGATGTGGAACCAGAATGTGTGCCTTGGCGAACGAGTCGCCGCGACTTTTTTGGCTTCTCCAACTGATCCTCAATCCTCGTAAGCCGTAAGCTGTTGTTCGGACAGAAACCCCACCCCAGTGCTGAGCAATGGTCCCATATCTAAGACATTCTAAGACCCAAACCTGGTCTCTTAAGTCATTAAGTAGTGCTTTTGTATGACCAGCTCCAATCAAAAATGAGGTCCGTTCCTGTCGTGTAGGGGCCACGACTGGGGCACTGGTCTATTTATGAATCACATCTGGTCACCCAGAGGACCGATCCGTACATCCATGTACCGATCACTTGTTTCATCGAATGACTCCATGGGCACCGATCCGGTCATGTGATGCGCTGTTCCACGTTTACTGTAATTCGGTGGAACGCCTGTGTGTTGACGATTGTTTACAAGTCCCTTACTCATGGGGCCAAGGTTCCCAGTGCTTGCCCAGGTATCACCCTGAATTGATGACGCCATGGCCACAGGCTGGGATTTCAAGCGTCCTTTCAATGGTAGAACACCATGTGTTCTTGATCCACACGCATGTGATCAGTTGGCTGCGTGTAGACAGGCCAGGCCTGTTTCAGGGGTGTCAAGAGATTCCGAGTGCTCAGCAGGAAGCCAATGCGCCATCCGCATCGCCGGAACAGTTCCAAACCGACTTGCTGAATCAGTTGCTGCAGGACGCCACTTGCAGCGGCGAAGGGTCCAATAATTTATATGTTATATAGTAGATTTGTATTTATATATATTTATATTTATAGTTTGTTTAGTTTGAGTCAGTTTGTCATCAGTTTGAGAGAAATATCGAGCCGTATCCTTTAAAAGCCCTCCTGAGTGAATTCACATTGCATTTTCGGTGTCATTGGGTGTCCACTCCATGTCAAGTTCCAGTGGCTTTTCATTCGTCGCAACGTGGAGCTTTCGTCGCTTGCTCGTTGGTGGGTTTCCTCATGCGTCGTGCAGAAGTTCTTGGAGGTTCGAGTCGCATCATCTCTCCGTGGAGACACGGGTATCTTTTGAGTCTGCTTTTGAGAACGAGAACGTAAAAAGAGTTTGCTACTGGGGTATGAGATTTGTCTTGGTCCAGACATTGGTGCAAGCAATCTCTCACTCAAACTTAGGGATAGTGGGGTGGTCCACGGAAAGAACATGTTGTTGGGACGAGTGAGTATCTACAGCTGTATACGTGTGTGCACACGGGCTCGGTGATGCAGGAAGCACATGCGCAACAAGCGGCCCAAGTTGTCCAAGCTGAACAAGCAACGCGCTTGATGATGGCATGGTCGCAGGAGGGTTTGCACAGGGAGCACAACACCACACTGCTCTGATAGGACAGTAGCAAGTTGTCCTGCGAAATCCATAGTTTGAGCCACACCCACAATGTGGTTGAAAGGTGAGTCTTCCTGTGTCAATTTTGCCACATCGATGGTTTTCCTGAGATGTCTCGGCATTTTTGGATGTTGAGTCTCGCAATAGCCACAATCGACATCAAATCAGGCTTTAGCCATATGGCATGGCCATGGATTGGCCCGGATTGGCCCTTGGGAGGTTAAGTAGGAGGTGAAGGCCGTGTTGCCGGTCTCCAAGGGCAGTCCTCTTAGGTATGGCATGCGAGGGGCGTCCGAGATCAAACAATTGCTGCAAATTGCTGCCTCAGGGCTAACTGAGACTAAGCAAAAACTAATACAAAATAGAAGGTCGATCAGATCTCATACAAAAGAATGGGACATCAGTAAAGGGCTCCCCTTTTTTCATCACCCTTGAACAATGCTTTTTCACCATCCCTTTTTCTTCAACCCTCGAAACCTTTTTTCCACCCTCAAGAACCCTTTTTCCCCCACCCTCTGGAACCCTTCTTTTTCACCCGTCTAAAGCATTGTTTTTCACCCTGCACCCTGTCATTTTCGCCCTGTAGCATGTTTCTTTCACCCTTCACCTTGTTGTTTCACCCCTCACCCTTTCTTCTTCACCCTCGACCCTTTCTTTTTCAACCCACCGCCGGTGAGGCAGGTACCCCGGAACCTGTAGAGAGACTCGCTGGAACGATGTCACTCCAGACTCCAGGAACTGACCTGGAAGTCTGGAACGTGAGTTGCGCCCTCACCCACCCTTGCGCCTGTATTTACAGCGCATCCATCCATCCATCCATCCATCCAAAGAAACCATCCCACCAACCAAGCAGCCAACAAACCAAGCAGGCAGAACCAACCCCAAAGGAAGGAGGGTAAGAAAAAAAGGGTGGGTAGCCCAACACACCAAGCAACCAAACCACACCACTCTGTGTTTTCCTGCAGAACTCTCTACAATCCAAATTGCTGTAGTTTCATGTGTTTTTGCGATGTTGGCAACGCATGTGTATATAACTCTATATATATATATGTAGAGAATGAAACTACAGTAAATATGTTTAGACATTGCAGTTGTAGAAAAATGGTGTGATATATATATATATATATATGTGCATATGTATATATATATATATATGTGACATTATGATGATGACAACTGTCCTTGTGAACGACGTTTAAAAATACTATCTTTGTTGACTTGGTTTGATTTTGATCAAAAAGCACAGATAAAATATAAACATTGTCATAGTCTTATTCAACTATATGCCGTAACTTCTCATTAGTCGTTTAAACATATCCTATGTCTTGGCTGAATGGTAGAGTTTATTCGCTTGGTTATTGGGGGCGGGTCGCGCTATACCAATTATTCCCTGCCACCCCCCACACCCCCTCCCGCCTATATTTACAGAGCATCCATCCATCCATCCACCCATCAAGCAAGCAACAAAGAGGAAACAATTGTATACCCATCAACCACTGTATCACGCAATCCATCAACATCAAGCTAGCCAACCAACCAACAAACCAACCAAAGGAAGGATGGTGAAAAAGAAAGGGCAGAGGGTCAAAAAGGGTCCATGCATCCATCAACGGAGTGCCAACCAACCGACCGACCATGCCAAACCAACAAACCATCCAACCAACCCAGCAACCAACGAACCAACCAAACCACATAACTCTGTGTTTTCTCAAAATTGCCGTCGATACTTGGCTTGCAATGGTTTGTATGGCGGGGGGCCTCCCGTTTATTTACAGAGCATCCATCCACCCATCCATCCATCCTTCCATCCTTCCATCAAACAAGCAAACAAGCGGAAAAAATTGCATATCCATCAAGCGCTGCATCACGCAATCAAACGGCCTCAAGCAAGCCAACCAACCATCCCTGTCCATGACCATCAATCAGTGTATGCCCGCACCCCCTTTCGCCTTCATTTACGCCGCATCCATCCATCCATCCATCCATGTGTCAACGGAGTGCCAACCAACCAACCAAGCAACAAACCGGCCAAACCAACAAACCAAGCAACCAATGAACAAAGAAACCGAACCGCGTAACTCTGTGTTTTCCCCAAATTGCCGTCGACACTTGGCTTGCACGGCGGGGGAGGCGGTGCGCCCTCCCCCCGCACCCCCTCCCGCCTTTGTTTAAAGAGCATCCATCCATCCAAACAGAACAATATCCATCAACCACCACAGGGTAGAGAGTCAAAAAAAGGGTAGAGGTTCAATAAAAAGGTTGAGAGGGTGAAAAAGACAGGTGGAGGGTGAAAACAAAAGGCGGAGTGAAAAAACGTGTTCAAGGGTGAACAAAAAGGGTTGCCCATCAGAAAAGCCAGTGACGGTTGTGGAGTGTGATAAGATGTGATAAGATCGTTTGCCGCTTGAGCCACAATTCCACGGCATCATTCAAATGACCCCGTGAAAACTTTTTGTGGGCCCTGGGGGTAAACTTTAGAAGAGAAAGGAGCCGTTCCAAGCCAAGGTACGTAGAACCATTCCAGCTCAGCATGCCTCTTGCGAGCGACTCGAGCGTTAAATTTGGAACAGAACGGACCCATTCCAAGGTAGCAGTCAGCCCGTGGGCAAAATTTACATAAAAAGGAACCATTCCAACGTAGTATACCTTTTCTGAGCGACCCGAAAGGTAAAATTTAGAGAAGACAGGAGCCATCCCAACGTAGCGCACCTTTGTGTGAGCCACCCGAGGGTAAGATTTTTTGAGCGGGAGGGAACCATGCCACTGCAGCAGACCTAAATTGAGACGACAAAAGGAACCATTCCAACGCAGCATGCCTGTCGCGAGCCACCCGAGGGTAAAATTTAGATCAGAAAGGCGCCATAATACCGGTCTTTTGCGGAAACCCTACCGGGGCTGACTGGTGCTTCAGAGCGCTCATGCGATCAGACGCAAAAAAAAGCGTCAACTTGAGCAAAGTGGTGTTTTAGAGCCTGCGTTCGAAATTGAGTGGTGTGTTCCAAAATGAATCTAATTGGACACTTCAATGTGTTCCGAATTGAGTGTGTTCCAAATGAACCTTCTGCCGTCCAGGAGTGGGCACAGCCGGCTTATGCAGCATCATTCGGAGATTTTGGGCAGCATATAGATTCGGCCAGCTTTGGTTCGTGGCAGCTCGGCTGGTTCAAAGGTCTTCATGGCCCGTTCGATGGCCTTTGCCAACACGTGACACCATTGTGAGCTGAGGACCTCGCCCCTCCCCCAGGACAGAGGGCATCCGTCCGTGCCGCGATGTGCAACAATTTTCAGGCTTTTGTTGGTAGGAGACGGTTAGGGTATGTGTATGTTTTTGCTGAAATGAAACTTTCGACTGAAGGAAAAATGGTGACAGTTATCGCCCTTCCCCGTTTCAGGATTGTCGCAAGAAGGGGATGGTCTTCATCCTCCGGCAGGCCAATTCCTGCAACGCAGAGATCTCATGTGTATGCCTTTGAGTGTCCCCTCACCCGCTACATGAAAAAATCCAGCAGTTGCAAACTAAATTGGGGTGATATTCCAACTTATGCCGGCGCTTAAAGGCCGAACCTTTGCCAAAACTTCGGGTGTTTGTTGCCGTTGCTGGGGACCACGTTGAGGTCATGATGACGCCGAACTTGCGAAGTGTTACGAGCAACTCGAAGTCCAAGATAGCACGGATAGCACGTTTATAGAATGCCAACGCAGGAAGAGTTCAATACCCAAGGCAAACGATGGCAAATGCATGATTGTTGCATGAGATTGCACGAGTCCAAAAATACAACTTTCATGTCTACAGTGGCACTGGTTTGAGACCTAGGGAAGCAGTGAATGCCTTCCTGGTCGACGAAAACTACGACGAAGAAAGTGCGGAGCAGGAGTGGAGCGATTGTGCCCAATATCGCAACTGTCAGTCATCTGTGAGGAGTAAGTGAGGAATAAGCCGCGCCTCCCTTTGTTTGCACAGCTAGATGCCCACAACCGCGCACTCGGTTTCACATGTTTCAACAAACATGTTAGACTTTCAGTTGCTTTTGGCCCTGGATCCCGCTTTTCATGAACTGGAGAGAGGAGGATGGCACGGCGGGCACCGCACTTCACCATCAAGTCGCAGATGCTCCAGTGGTCGCTGCTCCAGTCATCGATGCTCCAGTGATCGTTGCTGCTCGGTTTACCAAGTTCTTGCGGACTGCCAGCAGTCCAGCTACAGTATAGCCATTCTTGCTACTAGTAACCAGTGCATCGCTACTAGTGACAAGTAACCTATCGTAACTATAGTAACAAGTAAAACATTTGAACACTTACGCAGAAAGACCGGCTCAGAGCGACGCAACACCATGCAACACCCATTTAGGTTCCAGGCGACAAGTCCGGCTCTTTTTTCCAACGCCTGCTCAGGGTTCCGGCTTTGGTTCTTTTCGTTCCCGCACTGACCGTGTTCTTGGGATGAATTGAGTTTTCAATGCAGACCATAGGTACCGCTGTACAGTATAGCTTGTACATTTGACCTGACCGCAGCCCTTCGATTGTTCAGAAAAAGTTCGCATGGTACAGTAGCGGAGCAAGGATAGGAGCAACCCCTATTGAACTCCAGAGAAAAGCCCCTAGGTCACTGGGATCCCGGGAGCAATTTCGATCCATAAATTTGGGCCTGGGACCCAAACTGCTGAACTGGTGAGAAACTGTTGTGTACCCCGTGCATTGTGTCAGAGGGACATTATTGTGAGGTAACTATGGAGGAGATCAGAGAAATCCTTCAAATAGTAGCCAGAAGCAGGCAAGCAACAGCATCAGCAGCTGAGGCAGTGAAGAAAGCAGTTGAAGAAAAGAAGTCCACAACAACTGATTGGTCAAAACTGATCACAAAGCTGACAAAGCCCACTTGAGAAATTGAAATGTTTGAGTTCAGCTGATGAGGCTTGCATGAAAGATTTCAACTAGATCTGAGAAAGATGACAAGCCCAACGAGAACTTTGACGTGGACTTGGCAACTGAAGAGAAAACCAGACGCATCAAGCTCTATGGATTGCTAGCTTCGTTGATGAGGCGCAGAGCGCTGCAATTGGTTAAAGCTGTGGAGGACTCCAATGGCTGGAGGAGTTTTGAACAGAGCTTTGAAACTTACTTCAGAGGCTAGAGGATTAGCGCTTTTGGGAGCAGCCACCGCATGGCCAGCATTCTCGATGAACAGGCCCTACAATTTCAACTTCTCAAGCTGGAAGAAGTATTTGATGAGACGGTCAAATCAGGAACGGCGATTCAAGAAGGGCTGAAATCTGCTACTCTTTTGAGATGTTGAGGTGGACAGCTCAAATGCGACTTGAATTTGACAATTGGCGACAATGTTCAATACTCAACTTTGAGGGAACAAGTGTTGCAATGGGATCCTTCGCAGCAGAAGTGGGCTACTTCAATGGTGGCAAGTAGTAGTACAGACTATCAAGGACCCATGCCTGTGAACATTGATCAAGTTTAAGATGCCAAAGGAAAAGGCAAGAAGGGCAAGAATGACCGTCAGAAGGGCACAGGTAAGGATGCCAAAGGCAAAGGAAAGACAGGAAAGGGAGAACTGAAAGGACAAGAAGGTGATCACAAGGGCAAAGGTAAAGGCAAAGACCAAAAAGGAAAAGGTATGGCAACATGTTACACATGTGGGAAGTCAGGACATCTTGCTCGAGACTGTTGGGGAAACAATATTCGACATTGCAAGTGATACAGCCCGTTCATCTCCAGAGGAGCATCAGTGACTACTCATACAGGTGGTCAACAACAAGCCAACGTGAGTCGGAGTTAGTGGTCAGAAGGATTGGGAACAGTGAGCTAATCATTTTTGACCCACAAGAGAGGCATGATGACGCAGAAGGTCATGGAATTCGAGCGATTCACTTCTACATTGGAGGCGATGATGATGACGACGGTGATGATGATGATGATGATGATGAGCCAAAAAAAGAAGATTATGAAGTGATTGAAATTGAGGATGAGGAGGTGAAGGTGAGGAGACTTGTGGAAAAGAAAGAGATGATACGGCCAGTCATTATTTACAGTGGAGCAGATGTAGCTTTGTGCCCTTTGAGGATCCTGGGGAAGGAGAGCTAGAATTCAATTCGATGACCAGGCTACAAGTCCCATGGGAATCGTATCCCCACCGGGCGTGCGAAAAGTGTTAAAATCTTCGTGAAGTTCTTCTCAAAGAGAATGTTAAAAGGTAAGTCAGCCCATACTTTGCAATGGAAGACTGACGGAGCATGGCAGGGGTATCAATGGTCGAGAGCAAAGCTTGCGGAGAATGGTGCCACTCAACCTACAAAACCACTTTTTGAGAGCGCAAGGCCGGATTAGAGTCAGTCAAGACGAAGATGAAAGCTGCTTGGAGGTGCAAGTACCTGAAGTTTTGGAGAAAGTGGAGAAAGCAGCAGGTTGGAAGTTCAATGAGCGTGGCTTGCTAGTTGGAAGCTTATTGGGTTCAAGGTTTGTTGATCCCACATTCACGCCAGAAATGGAAGATTCACCAGAGCTGATGACAACCGCTTTGGTGAAAAGAAGAGGTCGATGGCTTATGCCTGAATATTGCGAAAGCATGACGAAAAAGGAGGAACTTGATGAGCAAATCTTTGATGATAACACAGTCATTCCTTCAGTCACAATCTTCAGCTATGAACCAGCACCACCAGAAGATATGGGATTCTTTGCACCAGGATACAAGAATCTTGAGAACAGAGATGAGAGAAAGACAGAAGTAGATTACCCCTACTCCACCGGGGAAGGAGGTAGAAGACAAAAAAAGATGAAGACGAGAGAGAAGAAGACCTCGAATGTGAGCTGCAATTGAGCCCAATGGATGTAGACAAAGTCTTGGTGAATGGAGTAGAGTTGACTAACTCATTTCCCGGCATCTCAGGTAGCGGCTCTAAGTGGAAGGTCGAGTCTACACGAAGATCCTCAATCACAACAAGAAGTTGGGACTCTGAGTGAAGCAAAAGCTCAGGAGACAAGAGACGCACGAGGACAAAATGTTGCAACGATGCCATATGAAGCCACTCAGGCGAGACACAGATTGACGCATCTACCATATGCCAATTGGCGCAAGGAGTGCATTGAGCATTGAGCGCATCCAGATCTCCATGAGAGAACAGATGGAGATACGTGGAGTACAGAGAGAAAGTATCCCTGAAGTGAGCTCTGACTTTCGCTACACAAGAGCCAGAGATTCAGAAACAAAGTCAGCAAGGGCAGTATGTTGTTTAGTTGCAATTGACAGCCAGACTGGATACATCCATTGGGCCATTAGGAGGCAAGAACCATTTTCGTCTCATCGCATAAATTTCAGTCAATTGTTGGGGTATCCGGGGTATTCAGCAATCACCTACAGGAGCGACAGTGAACCCACAACAAGGCAGATCCTAAAGATGCTGATCAATTCAATGCTCGACACAGTCCAGGACTTACTACAAGATTGAACACTTCAAAGCTGGGAGATCATTCATTTCCGTCAGAAGTTTCCTTGAAGGCTAGCAGTCAAGGCTTGGCGTCAAGATAAGATCAGATCATGCACTTTGGACTTGGGCAGCAAGACATGCCAGTTGGGCGCTGAATCGACTTCAACCAGGCAAAGGTGCCACTCCATATGAGGTCGTCTATGGAAAGAGTTGCACAGAACTTTTACGTCGCTGAGTATGGTGAACCAGTTCATGCTATGTTTGTTCTTGGGAGGGGAATGTGGAAAGACAAGTTACATATGTCTTGACAGATGGTGCGCAGGCAGCGCTAAGCAAATGCATCAGAAGAACAGATCAAGATTGGCCCAGATACTTGCCAATCTACAAAAGCTTCAAAGCCTATTCATGAGAGTACTACCAGACAAACTTTGGAGGCAGAAGCATTGCCAGCAGCACAGACAGAAATTCCGCGAGAGCGTGCGACGTTGAAATTCAAAGATGAAGATGCAGAAGCAGTTACGGCAAAAGCTCTTGAAGGACGAAGTGACTCAGGGAAAGAAGAGGCACTATTCCCAGAACCAATACCGGTTCCAGCCTCACTGGAAATTCCGGGCGAAGCAAAGAAAAGAGATGGAGGTAAAATGCCAAGCGGAGAAGAGACTCCACGTAAGGAGCAGCAAGTTCCTTTTGCAGATGAAAAACACTTGAAAAGGTGAAGGCGGACATTGCCAGCAGGACAACCCAACCCAGTTGCTCCTATACTATCTTCATTGAGATCACCATCAGCGCCTTCAAGGCCAAGGGAAGCATTTGAGTTGCTTGAAGAAGAAAGTCCTGCGAAGAAACTCAAGCCATCAGAAGATTCAAGCAAGAAGGCCAAGATCAACTTGGTGAAAGTTGCAGGAGATCTCCATCGTGTAGATGAGGAGTTATCCCCAGTTGCAGAAGAAGTTGACGAAGACTGGGAAGAAGAAGGAGATGAGGAAGGAGAAGAAGAAGAAGAAGAAGATGAAGTGAATGGACCTGAATGCTTGTGGCGCGTGATGGAGAACATGAACCAGAAGAAGATCTAGAAGAATGGTTAGACCGGGTAGCTGATGAAGTTGAAGAGAGGAGACTTCAGAAGATGCAAGCGCTAGAGAAACCAGAAGGTAGCGCAAAAGGTATCAGTTACCTCACAACGCGCAATGTGTACATTTTGAGAAAGAACCTTATCACCATGGAGACGGAACAACAGGCAAGAGGTGGACAAGAAGACCAAGACTAGTTGCAACAGTCGCAAGAGAAGATGCTCTTGAAGGAAAGGACATTTTCTCACCAGCGACTTCAGGTCATGTACTGAAGCTTCTACCCACAGTATTCTTACAAAGAGAGGGAGAAGGGGCATTGTCCCAGATGATGCAGGATGTCTTGATGTGAAAGACGCGTTCTTGCAAGTTCCACATGTGAAACCTTTGAAAGTGAATTGAGAGGAGAAGAACTTTTGCATTTTCACAGGGTACCTCAATTACAAGTTCACTGCTGAGTGCCCATGCCTAGGAAGAAATGAGAAGAGTATCATATTAAGTTCTTCCAAAGATTGGGAAGATTGAAGCTTGATGGGTTCAACTTCCTGAGGAGAAAGTACAAACAAGAGAAAGATGGACTATGGATCCAACCAGGTAACTACATCCAGCAGAGGCTGAAGGCATACGAGGAGCAGATTGGGGAGATCAAACGTCAACAACTACCATCAGACATTTCAATCCAGATTGGAGACAAGTCAGCAACCTTGGGTGATCAAGAGAAAGTCAGCCTATTCAGATGCATTGTTGGTTCAGGTATCTATCCCTTTGTCAAGAGAGGTATGATGTGGCATTTGCTGTCAACTAATTGGCTTCAAGAATGTCAAACCCAACAACTATGACATTTCACCACTTGAAGAAATTCCTAGGATACTTGAAGAAGACGATGGACTTTTGTCTAGTAGTTGAATTTCCACAGGCAGGAGGAGGCTATGTAAAGAAAGGGGGAACACTATTGGTGCCTAGAGACATTTTCAGATTTAGATTGGAGCGGAAAAAGAGCCATAGAAAGTCAACGTCGGGAGGATTCCATGCATTGAGCAGTTGTCCATTGTTCAACAGCAGCAGAACACAGAAGATCATTGGCTTATCTTCCTGTGAAGCAGAGTTGCGCGCAATAGTTTCCTCAGCATCAGATTGTATCCACATTCGTTCAGTTCTTGAGTTTGCGCTGGGGACAAGGTGGACCATTACATCTTCACAGATTCTTCGAGCGCGCGGCAACTTGCGATGAAGAGATGGGTTGGAAACGTGAGACATTTAGATGGAAAGTTGCTGTAGGTTCGTTACAGAAAAGACTTCAATATGGTACAAGTGCCAACAGACAGCAACATGGCAGACATCAATACCAAACCACTTGGAGGCCAGAGAATCAGATTCCTGACGAACCTCATTGGTTGTTGGCACAGTGAAGAGCAAGCAAGAGTTGGTGAGCTTGAGAGAAAGGTGCGTGGAGAGAAAAAGAACTTTGTAGGTAAGATCAACAAGATTGCCAAGATGATTGTCAGAATTGCAAGTTGGAAGTGGAAGACTCCAGTAGAAGCTAGAAAGTCGCAATCATCATGATAATTATCATTGGTTTTGCAGCAATGGCCTTTGCAATGTGGAAACTCGAGAGATACTTTGAAGGTCGCTTTGTAGCACTCAGAGATTTCCTTTGCAACAAGGTGAATTAAAAAAAATGCGAGCGCAGGATGATGGAGATTGAACATATAATTATGAGCATGAACACCAGTTAGACAAATCTTACAATGGATTGTCTCTCAATGGAGACTTTTTAGAAGATGAAGAGCCAACATCGTGGCAGAGACCAGGATATGATATGATCTCTAATACAATAGCGAGAAGGAGCCTAGAGCGTTTGAGGTATACAAAAGGGCGATCTATAGTGGACATGAACTACTACTCGAGACAGCAGCAGCTCATGGAGGAGTTCCTTCAGATGGGCCAGGGTCAACATCATTCGAAAGTGGAAACTCAGAATACGCGAATAGCATGGAGTATGACGAAGAACAAAGACAAGTACTACGTGACGCGTGGCAGACTTGAAGGCAAAATCGAGAGATTGAAGAGACAACACGAACTACTTGCATATCGAGGGCAATTCCCTCAAGCATGCAATCAGTGCTGAAGGAGTCCAGTAGAAGAAGTGAACTCGAGAGCCTCAAGGAACCCCGTTCCTTAGAGAAAACCAGTTGAACAGAACTATGATGGTGGCAGAGTGACCTAAAATAGCTGATGAACGCTCATACTACCGAGAAGAAGTGTCAGTTTCAGTACAGACCATAGGTAACGCTGTACAGTATAGTTTGTACATTTGACCTGACCGCAGCCCTTTGATTGTTCAGGAAAAATTCACAATATATAACAATAATTTATGTTCTTCAGATTGCTCATCTCTTCAGCCAGAACCCAAAAAAGGAAAGACAACCTCTTCTTTTTGCCAAAACACCCAGGACACTGCGGCGGACAGTGTCCTCTCCCAAGAGCAGCCTTTTTCTGAGCCTTCTTTGGAACGCCCCACGCGATCCAGAAGGGGCCCTGGATCTCGCTATTGGTGCACTTTCCACCTTGATGAGGCCCAGACACAGCGGATCAAAGCGCGCGCGTTGATTTTCGCGCCTTGCCGGTGGAAGATGGAGATGTGGTTCGACACACCCCCGACCGCAGAGATGAGGTTCACATGTCTTGGTGGAGCATGCATTTGACCCAAAACCCATAGCTGAAAGGCTGCAACCATTTGAGAAATGGTTGGTGGATGTTGATGGTTTTTTTCAGCTCCCTCGTCGCCAGAGAGGAGACTCCTCTCCTCTCGTTTGAAACTCGTTTGCCGTCAGATGATGACTCTATATGACTCGGACACCACTATAGGGTGTTAAACGTTTGTTTTAATATCATCATCAATGGTTGATCTATGAGAACAGAAACCATTTGGAACCATCATCATCATCATCATCATCATCATCATCATTCCTTTTCCAACACCATAGTTGGTTAGAGCCAAAGACAAAGATTACAAACCCACGGTTTTCAGTGGTGTTTCGAGTTTGCCCCCGTTCTTCTCTCGTCACCCCTTTCATTCGAGAAGGCATATTTGCAATTCAAAGTCTCTGGGCGAAGAGCTGGACTCGATGGGAAAACATGAGACGCGTCCGATGGGAATTGATTCGATGGGAGGGGTGTGTTTCGATGCTTTTCGTGGGGTTCGTGTGGTGAAAACCAGGTTTTCACCAGGAAGAGGTGGTTTGCCAGCGCTGCTTGTCACTGGCTGATGCGGGTTCGATGCTTCAACCCCCCCTTTGTGCCTTTAAGATCCTTTATGATTCGGTGTATGCTGGGTCCGTGAATCAACGTCTGAAGAACAGGCCACCACGTCACCGCAATGAGTCCATAGGGGACCTCTTCTGACTGGGAACCTCCTTTCGCCTCATGATCCAAGCTACCAAAATGGATGCAAAACGGGGGGGAGCGAAGCAAAACGGTGCAAGTGGAATACTCGTAAAATCGCGCGACCTGGATCGTCAAGGTTTGCAGCGCGATCATTGGACGGCACGGCGAGCACACAAGGCCTGGTCACCCAGTTGCTCTCAAACTTCGGAGACCGGTCGGAAACCACGTGTCTGGTCCGCGCAGGGGGAGGAGTCCGTTATATAATAGACTCCCCCCCATTTGGATGCACGGACTTGCGGACGATCCACGACACGCCCCACTCTCTCCCTTGACAGGTGTTGTGGCGGGTTGTAAGGCCTCTTCATATGGGGAGTTTCTTAATCAAGAGTCTATATTGATGGTTTGCTGGGCGGGCTGCGGTTTCTCCAAGAGTGCGAAGACCTCAAAGGCTTGGAGGTTGCTCAAGACCTTCCTTTTCCGCGCTTTTTGCACGTTCCTTGTATACAGAGATTGTTGATTGTTGGGAAGACTTTGGCAGCAAGACTTGGGATGAACAGTTCTATATGACTGAACTATATATTCTAAAGGCTTCAATTGATGCCTACCATGAGTCAAGTTCGGAGCCCCTGGCAGGGACATCTTCGACAAGACGGGGGCGAAAATACGCGTGCGAGGTCGAGGTAGTGGCCATTTGGAGCCTCGGCAGAGCCGCGGATGACCTTGTGCCAATTGTTGCCCACCTGAGAGGATAAGGGGGGTCAGTTATTTTGAAGTCGATCTTAGACGGTGTTTGTCGCGTCCTTGACCTTCGCGCTAACATGTAGGCCAAAAAAACCATGTCACATAGATCACATAGATGACAAGCTGCACTGACAGCAATCGTTACAAGCTATGAGAACGAGAAACAACAGACACAATGACAACACCAATGATAAGATACAAAGACAAGAGCAGTCGCAAGCCACAGTGACATCATCAATGACAAGCCACAATGGTAAAGGCAATGCGAAGCAACAACCATGCAAGATGTATTGAGAAGCCACGATGATACTAGCCACAGTAATAGCAATCCAAAGCGACAGCAGCAGTGACTATATACATCTATATACAGAGCACAACGGCAGCACATGTATGATTCTATGATGAAAAAACATAAAAAGAGCAATGACGCAATGACAAGTCATCACCACTACAGGCAAACGATGCCTGATGGCAGATTGCTTTCTTGGGGATTCTTCACCTTTCACCTCACAAATTTGTCCCAAGACACCGCACAACTGCAAATGCCCATGCGTACCGGGGTGTTGCCGGGCTTCACTGCGCCGCCGGCGTCGGTGTTTGTGTTCGCCCCAGTTTAAAACTGTCGCTGTGAACGACTTGGAGACGGCCCCTGAGCTGTCAAGTCTTTTTGTGTTTGAGTTGTTTTAGGTCATACAAGTCATACGTAGAGCTTCGTGCTAGATAAAAAGTGCAATGAACATCGGATGCGCATTCTTTTGAGGAAAGTGGAACGGGCACAGAAGCTCCCACAAACCTCATGGTGACCGTCTCAGCACCTCAAGACAGCCAGACGCAAGGCTGAATTGAGACGGATGTGGATGGGAGGGCATTGGGGGCTTTGATTCAACTGTAAATGGTGAGTGCAGGCATTGCTTTGGCTCTGACTCACCGTTATCCATTGTTCAGGTTGGTGAGTCTAGGTGTTGAGAACAACTGGGGGGAGAGTCAGGAGAGTGCACGCCTCCATGTCTTGGTGCTCGGTTGGAGCGGTTTCCGTTTTCAGACCAAACCTGCATTCACGGGATTATCGATGTTCTGTATCAGGAGTTCTGGATCCTTCCGGGAGACCGAATTCATTAGCTACTGCTGATTCTGCTCCTAGTAGCTTCTCGCTACTAGTACTATCTAGTAGTAAGGCCGTGTTCCTAGTAGCGATGCCAGGAGCCCCTAAAAGCGTTCTTGCTCCTAGTTGGTATTTTTGTGGCATAATATGTTGGTCAAAGGGTCGACCACAAGCCGGAAGTGAGAGGTCGACGGACCATTTCACATCGAAAGGCCTTTTTGCCGAAGGTCCGCAGCCACACACCCTTGGGGCAGCGGGCTGGGAGTAGTCAGTACCGACCGCTCCCACGGTTTTGTTGTTCCTTCCTTTGTGGTGAAGGATTACGCAAATCACCCGGCCCCAGTACTGTCGCCGCACAACTGGTGCAAATCCACAGAAGTTTGATTCACAAGTCAATCCTTTCAGCTAAACCATTCAAAAGGTAGGTTTTTTCAAACAAAGAACAAACAGGCCTGTGGTTTTTTTTTCAGGGAACCTGGAGGCCTGGAGGTTTTCAAACAAAGAACTCGGAACATCTGCTGGCAGCTGAGACGAACAAGTCGAACGGTTGAGTGACACACGGTCATCAAGGTTGTGATGTGTTTATGTTGTGGTGGGCGGAGTTCCATAGGGTAAAGCATGAAACCACAAGTTGGTGTAACTTAATGCTTTGCCTATTATGGTCAAAAGCGAGCCTTTGGGGAAGCTCCCGGATTCGTTTTGGCGGTGGGAAACCCACGTCGGGTGTCGAAACCCACGGTGCTCGGGTATCCCGTATCAGCGCGGGTGAACGGTTGTTTCACCATGCCTTTGGCATGCTTTGACACAGGGTATCCCGCTGGGGTTGAACCTCACACTATCTCGGACCCTTTCTTTCCTGACATGTCTTACAAAATTAGGACAAGGTCAGATTTTGTTTTACAGAGCATTTTTCTGCGGCGTGGGCAGGGTGTGGAACGCTCAAAAACGCATTGCTATGGGCATCCTTACGGAACATCCGAGGTGTTTGCCAAGATCCGATTTTTGCTCATGATCTTTTCAATGTGTATTAACTCGATATTTGTGAGAAGATTTTTCAGCAATACCCAGCATGACCCAGCCTCTCTTTTCTCCAAGGGTCAACTTCACCCACGCTGTGAAGCTCACGGGTGAATTGTTAGTGCGGACCGAACAGAAAATCATGCGGGACCAAGTTGGGTGCCTTGGACGACTTGAATCCGCGGGACTTGAATCTCTTGACAGCGGCGAGTGTTGCACTTGACAGGGGTGGAATAAGACGGCGACGGGGACTTGGTCAGTTTGTTTGTTTTGTTCGTTGTTTGGCGGTTCACTTTGGGCGGACGGCAAACAAACCCAGAGCCACTGACGTGCACTTGCTTGTGCTTGCTTGTTACTAAATATGTTGGACTTGGACCAAAAGGAATTCGCAAACTGTCATGTTCGATCCACTTCGCAACACTTGCAAGCAAGAAACATGATGTTTTATAGCAAAAGAAGATAAACCCTGAAGAATACGAAGGTTGACCAAATGCCAAACACCAATAAGCTATAATATATCGGAATGTTGGACATCAAGTCCCCATGATTGTACATAATATAACATAGGACAGATCCTCCTGAGCCAGAGGGGCAGTATGTTCCAATGCATACTCCACAGATGTGTGCATCTTACCTGCACACAGGTCAGATGAGCCACGCCGTAAACCTCTCTTTACATTTTTGTTATTTTTTGTTAAGAGCTTGGTCATAAGGAGGGTTGACGTAAGCAAAAGTCCGCTGCGCGTAAGGTTGCATAAGGTTTTTTTCAACATAACAAGTTGCGTAAGGATTTTGTTGTTCTTTATTATTTGTTCTTAGATATACCTTGCGGGCACTTCTTTCCGAAGCGGTGCCGTGTTGACGTTCACTTCACGACTACAGGCAAGTGTTGAAGTAGATTGGTTGTAAGGACTTTTAAGTTCACACCACCCCCAGAGCACTGACAATGGATTGTTTTTTTGGCGTAAGGTCCGCGTATGCACCGCGTAAAGACAACTTCGATTTCTAATCAGTTGCCCACTCATGGCACCAAACAGCTTCCTTTTTCACAACTGCAAGTGAAGCAGCGCAGCCGAATCATCGACACCCTGGATGGTCTTTCAAACGTCGCCTAAGCTTTTCTCTTGGGGTGTAGAAGTTTGAGTGCATTGCTGTGGCGCAAGCCCGGCGTAAGCCCTTTCTACCACAAACCCAGCCGCGTAAGCTCAAACCGCTGCGCATACGGAAAGCGGTTTTGGTCTCAGCGGTTTTGACTTCCCATACGACCGTTCGATCCATCAAGGTTTCCAGCCCAGCTGAGACTTTGCTGGCAAGTCAGCATGTATGATGGTCAAAACTACCGTCCGGATGCCCAAGACCTGCTCCGATCACCTTCCGCTGCTTTAAAGGAAAAGGAACTTGTTCGGCGAGTGCTTTTGGGCAAGTTTGAGTTGGCCACCTTTTTTCACGTTGATATGCCGATCCCAAGTGATTCTGCGTTAGATCTCGTTGATTCGTCGATTCTGCGTTGAGTGTGTCGATCCGGATCAGCGGATCAACTTGCAGACTGGATTGTTCTTCAGCTTCAAACAGTTTATAAAACGTGTTTTCCATCGTTTGGATTCCTAACTCACCTGGTGATTCGATGGATCTCCGGACACTCACCGGTGAATCAACCATCACCGTCCTGAGACCTGGCGAGCGACGGCTCTTTGGAGTCGGAGGCGCAACGCGCCGCCCGCGTCTCTGGGCTCGGTCGGTCAAAAGCAGATCGAAGTCGGGATGCACATGTGGTGTTTCAGGGAGTTTGCGAGGATGTCAGACATGGATGTGTATATCATATTATATATATACAAGCCAGGACGCATACGAACGTAACAAAAAGGGCATCGCTACGAACGGAACAAGAACGCTACGAACGGGGCTCCTGGCCGTACTACTAGGGGCAACGCCGCTACTAGTAACAAAGGGCACATGGATGATGTTGTATTAGGTCGGCCATAAGAGGGTCCATATCAGTGCTTCAATTGGGGCCCCAAAGTCAGAACCAGCATGAAGCGTCGCAACGTGCGCCGAGCGAACGCTGCCACTTGAGGATGACACCGCACTGAAGGCCGCTGAAGCCCCGGCCTGGCTGCCCAAGTCGGCTTGGTGTAACATCAGATGTCCATCAGGATATCCACGGAAATGATGGTAAATGAACATCCTGAGTTGCCAAATGAATCATGGGAGTATGGGAATTGACTCACGCTTCACCGACAAGTAGAGACCTACTGGTAGAACCATGTAGAACTAAATTGGACACCCTTTTTGGGATAGGAAAAGACATGCAGCAGAAGAAGCGAATGAGCAGGCACAAAAACATGTTCTGATGGTCAAAGGGGCTCTTTGGCATTGAAGACTGGGTGAAGGAACCTCAACGATCTGGAGAGTACCCATGAAGCTGAGGACTCCATGCCGCTGACCGGGCACAAAGTCAAGGGCAAAGCCAGCGGGAAAGGTATAGTTTTTGCAAGACAGAGACGCAAGGTGCGCTTCCCGTCGCCATGTGGTTAAGAGCTGTCGTCGGTTTCAGAGTCCAGCTGGTAGTAGTTTGCGATTTTGCGGTGTCTTCTTTATGTGCAGGGGCGGGTATTTTTATCAGCTGAAAATCCAGGCACACATGCACACATTGACAACACAATCCTTGATCTGAAACCAGCAGTACAGCTTCAGCAGTTCACACGTGACATAGAGCGCTGACTCTACCGAAAAGCACAAGAGTCAAGAGCTGTATGTGCCTCCATCAGTGACATCTACCCTGCCAATCTTCATTTGATGGAGTATTCTCGGGCCACACAAGACACATGACTAACTATGAGCAAGACACATCAATGTGTCGCACCACTTGCACTGGAATGCTCGGGCCCCACAGGACACATGACTGGCAAAGCACCTGTCTCACACAGGTCAATGATCTCAAGCATTGTCATGTGTTTGTTTAAAGCCAATTCCTTTCCGCGCTTTGGGTTTTTGCAGGGCAACCCAGCTCCCAAAATGGAGGGCAACACGGCTGAATAGGGCAGTGGCAGGCTTGGAGGGCAGGTGGTGACATGTGACAAACAAACCAAGGGTATCCAAGCGTTCTTCGCTGGCACTTTCCCAGCGCTTTCAGCATCCACGATAGCCTGGTCGCCTGCTGAGCAAGTTTTTCACGCAGGGCACCCAGGTTGGTGAAGATGGCGGGAACATGTCTACATTGGTGATGTACCCAAGTATTGGGAGCCCTGCTAACCACTGGACGTAGTGACGTAGTGATGAGCGCCTCTGTTGCAGAAAATCAAACTCAAACGTGCAACAAACGTTGCTGGTCGCTCAGGACCAATTGGAACCAGGAGACCTGATCCTCCTCTTCAGTCTTAGGCACAGAAATTGGTGGCGCGAAGAATGATCCCCCGAGATGAGTGCACAATCTGTACAGGCTAAAAACACGCCAAAGGGATCCAAATGGCACATACAGTATGTTCTTCCGGTGTAGTTATACTATATATATGTATATGTACATGTATTCACAATGTATAATATAAGCACGATATACAGTGTGCAGTGCAGAATTGGCGTTTGTATGGCATTTCACGGCGTCCATCTCTTGAATCGATGAAGCTCAGCTCCAGAAGCTAATTGTAGATCTAGGCCTAGGCAGTCAAAGCGATCCAAACAGGAGGTCAACAAGAGGTCTGGGTTCAAGAGCATTCAGTGTCATTGTTGCTTGAATGGCTTGGATCTCAAGAAATCTTTCATGTATTGGTGAAGCAAGCGAGGCGTTGTTCATCATGGATTTTGCTGTGGGCTGCGCACCTCTACCAAAGCATGCATTCTCTTCTGTAGGGAATTTCTATCATGACCTCCTGTGTGGCTCCTTTGAAAGGAAGTCTCACTTCGACTGCCGCAGCACAGGCTGCCTGCCTGCGCCAAAATGGAACAGTACTGCAGTGACACACCAAATCGCCCAGGGTCAGTTGCTCTTCTACTCTTTCTTGCGGGGAATTCTCATTTAGAGATGCTCCCTTGGTCCTGGGCAAAACAGACCCAAGCAAGGCAAGCAGCCCAAGAATCACTCTGGCTTTCATGTAAGTTCTCCTCAGGCAGTCCTTCGCAACTGCTACAATGTTTTCCGCTTACTGCCGGGACCTTAGAGCATGTGTGATTTCATCAGGCCCCAAGCCCAACACGTTCACGAATCTGGAAGGGCATGGAAAAGAGTTGAACTAGAACTAGAATATTAGATTCTTTCATATGGTAAGGCCAGGATCCTTGATTTAAACAAGTCGAGAAACAAAACAGCAAAAAAGAAGTCAAATGGGAAAGGCAAAAACATATCGAAAAAAGATGTCGAAAAAAGTCAAAAAAGAGAACATACAAAAAGAGAAAACAACTCGAAAAAGAACAACAAGGTCAATCAAAGTCATTTAAACGGAAAAACACACACCAAACAAAAATGATTAGAAACCAACTCGAAAAATACAAAGAGATGTCAACTAATAGCAATAGAAAGCAAACAACAAGTAAAAATAACAAAATTAGAAAAACACATCTAAAACAAAGTCGGATCTGGACCAATTGACTTGTTTGACTTGCTGATACTTTCTAATTTGACTTTTTTGACTTTGACTTGTTTGACTTTGTTTTTAATCTTCAAAACAGGCTCTCTCCAATCAAATAATTTTCTAAAACTAGAAGTCCCTAAAGAAGTTGGCCAACCAATCCTTGGCAACTTGATTTGCCAACGAACAAAAGTTCATACTAACTAAAGAAGGCAGGCAGTATGGCCGTGGCATGCCGTGTCCATGACCGCGAACCTGAGGACGGCTACGTCAGCAACCAACATCCACCCATAAGCCCAACCAGTGTTCCTTGTTTTTCCCTTAAAATGAAGAGAAACTTGAATACAGGACTTTGATGTTGAAAACAAGGAGTCTTTTGAATGTGTCTCCGTTGGATCAGGCATGGCGAAGTCCAATCGTTCATCAAGGCCAGCCTGCAAATCCAGCCATCAACTTGCAATTATTTGGCATTTTGGCCGTGCCCTTGCCGCAAGTGCTCCTCCAACAGGCGCAGTCCATGCACAAACTCTTCGATTTGCTCGAGGACCATCGCAATCGGCACACAACTCTGGCCACACCAGTGGAGATCCAGCCAGTGCCGCTATTCGCTATTGCCCTTTTGAGGCCATGGGTAATGTCATGTAATGTCATACTAGGTCAATTGACAATCTAGAGTCCTAGAGAAGAGTCCCTTGAGTATGTAGTACCACATATTGCAGCATTTTGCGTCAGAACAATGCACCAGACTATTTACAGCCTTCGGCATGCCGCCGGCCACCAGCTCGAGCCCGCATTGGCAGGCAGCTTAATGATACAATACCCTGCTCAATCATACTTGTTGGTGCATTGGAGGTGCACATTTGGCTGGGTGTTGATGTTTATTTCAAGGTTGTTTGACCATGAAATGGAACAAATCCGAATCAGAGGTTGTCTATTCTGATCCAGCGATCCGAACCGGCATGTCTCAGTCGAATCACCTAAGAGGAACCAAGTGAAACCAACACAAGCAATGCGAACCAAGACTATCCACAAAAGATGACCTTGAAAACGATTCTTCTTCCAAACTACTTGGCCGTGTGCATTTTTTCCTTTCCAGATCTTTTTTTCGACCATCTCGAGGGACTGCGACACGCACCAGATATTCTTTTTCACACACAGAAGGCTTCAAAGCGACCGAAGAATTTCTAGATCTTGCATGATTTGTCGTTTTTTTCTCCAAACCGTTTGAAATGAAAGACCCAGAATGACATCGAACAACAATACCCTGCTCAATCAGACTTGTGGGCGCATTGGAGTTGCACATTTTGCTGGGAGAGTTTGTTGCTGTGGATTTCAAGCGAAGTCGTTTTACAATGAAATGGAACGAATCCGAATCAGAGGTTGTCTATTCTGATCCAGCGATCGACATGTCTCAGTCCAATGGTTGTCTATTCTGATCCAGCGACCTACTACCTACTACCTACTACGTACCACCTACTACCTACGACCTACGACCTACTACCTACGACCTATGACCTACGACCTACTACCTACTACCTACTACCTACCACCCACTACCTACTACCTACTACCTACTACCTACTATCTACTACGTACCACCTACTACCTACTATTGCTACCACTACTGGGGGGGGGGCGTCAGGCTGTCGAAAATCTCGCGCGGAGAGGCAATACTCAAGCAATACTGACCAATACAAGTAATACTAACCAAAACAATCCACAAAACACGCCGGCAGGCCGGCGGATTCTCAAAGGACCTGCAGAACAGTCCCTAACCTCAAGACAGATAATATCAACACGTGGCTTGGTTGGGTGTTTCTCCGCCCCAATTTTGCGGGTCACTCGTTGTCACGCGCAGTCGCTCTAAGACTCGAGGCTTGGTGTAACTGTTTGGAAGATTGTGGCCAACCAAAACCTCCAGCAATGAACAGAACAGTCTCAAGAAATTGAAAAGAGGATGGACAGATAGAGGACTGAGGATGTGCCTGTTCTGACGTGAAACCAATGCAGGACTTTGTGCCTGCCTTTCTTGAAACAGTGGTGGGGGAACCCAGAGTTTTCGACTTGATCAGCGGAAAGTTGCCAAAGGCACTTTACTTCAAGAGATTGACCATGGCATGTGAGCAACCGACAAGAGTAGTGTAAGACTAGTGTTGCCCTACTTGCCCAGTCTTTTTGCACATTTGGTAGGGGGCCCACCCTGAACACCCTTGTGGGGCTTAGCTGATTTAATGTCGGCATTGGGCTAAGGAAATGACACCTTTGTCCGCTTTTGCGCTTCAACACCTGGATAGCGTATGTGTAGACTGCCTACCTGATAGATGCCTAACCGATAGGCCAGCATGCTTGCTGTTTTACAATATTTCACTAATGCTTATGATCCTAGTTGCTATCCTCTTGATTAGATGCTTGAGATCGTCGCCTCAGCCGCCCAAGTCGGCCGAGGTTGCCAGCGATTTGGGCATCTTCCAAGAACTGGAGGGCTTCCACTACAGCTCACGCCTGAGGGAAGGCGACCTCCACGACCCGTCCTAGGGTCGGGACGAAGGGTTTGATGGCAACGTTTGCTGTGTTGGTTTTGTGATGTTTTGTGTGTGTTCCAAACTTACCAGACGCAAACATGCTTTGGGCAGCAGCAACACTGCAAGTTCTTTTCAGAGGAATTGAGATGTTACATCTGAACAACTTTCAGCGTGGCCGACTGTCCACGGTTTCAGACATTTGATGTGTCCGTGGGCGCTCAGGTCCAGTGGAACGCAACACCTGCGTATCAATTCACTGCTTTCTGGACCCCATCTCGCAGACGTGAGAGAGACCTATTGACACTGACCTTTAGACCGGCAAATGCCCTGCAACGTGGCACTTCATTAGGCTTAGTTTGCCACTTCTCTTGCTTTGCCTTTGGAAAGCTTCAATTTGCATCTATTCACTGCTTTGAGGACAAGGTGCAAGAGCAATTTGCTTGTGTTCGGCATGCTGCGTTGCTCTACAATGCACACTTGGTTTACACAAATCTGCCCTTGGATGACATGAGGCCAGCTCAAATCTCTAAACACTCCGAGTGATGTCCATCGGCCGATTGCTCGAGCTCCTGGGCTGTCTGGCTTTCTCTGTCTCAGGGTACTCTACAGCTACTTGGTGGCCTTCAACGGAGCAGTGTCTAGCCAGAAGCTGAACAAGCCGCCCTTCGGTGATGTTCGGCATGCTTACACAACCTGAAAAGCCATAAGTAACACACTCACCAAATCCTGACGTCCTTTGATTTAGGAATAGGTTTTGACCGTGGCTCATCTGAAGACATTGTGGGTCAAAACCAACACCGACTATCTGGATTTGGTCGTTTTTTGATGTCAACAAGAGTGTTGGGTTGCCATGATCTATGTAGCCACGTGTTGCCTTGTTGCGCCACGCGAGCTTGGAAGAGATTTTGCACTCCCACTGTGGCAGCTATGCCAGGGCGCATTCCCACAGCTGCTTCCCAGCCAGGAGGTGGTAGTTCTTCGCGGCCCCTCCACGTTTGTTCGTGGTTCAGCAAGGTTGTTTCAGAAGAAGAACTAGATTGGATGATTGGACAGTTGTTGTGGCTTTGGGGTGCACGTTATTTTGCTTCGTTTCTTGAATCCCAGCTCGCTCAACATCTTGAACATCCTGGAACAGCATGCCAGGTTCGGCAGAGCGTTCTTGCTAACAGAAGAGGCATGGTCAATGTATAGATCTGGCCAGATAGTAGAGACTGACTTGGGGAAGCCATTTGTTCATATTCTGACCTATGACATAGTGGGCCTCCCTGTGACGACTAGGAAGGTCTCCATTCTTCTCGTCCTCGCTTTCCCCCAATGGAACATCAATTCAATTATTGGAACCTGATGAAAACCGCTTCATCACAACCGACCCACAGATTGCACTGGAAAGCCTGTCATGTCAACACTCATATACCAGGCAGTTCCAACAGCATCCAACAGCTTTTGCTCTCACACACACAGATAGGCACGATGAGGTACGCATTTCCACGTGTACTTCATTGATTCAGGAAGACTTTCTGCTGGGCATGTCGCGGCGAGCCCCAAATGGGTCCGCCCCTTCTGCCATGGTCGTCGCGCTCGTTGCGCGGTCGAGCAACGCGCGTTGCGACCGGTTGGGTCGGTTGCGTTCGCTCCCCCAAGTCGAGTCAACCACAAGGAGCTCTGAGTTGGCATTATTTGAAGTATTGTCCACGTGTCCATTTGTAGTCAAACTCTCAGAGCTCGACCCGAAGCTTGAATGTCATCCTAAAACTAACCGAACTAATGTCATAGAATTGATGGTACCTGGTTCTATTTATGCTTTGTTGTTATGGCCCTTTCAGTGTGGAGTCAATTCGTGGCCGCAGCTTGAGAGCTCAATCGACTAAGCTCACTTGACCGACCCGAAAGTCGTGGCAGGCGTCATTTGGCCCGGCTTCGAAGCCCAACACATCCAAACCACAAAGCGTCACAATAAAGCACTTGAAATTGAACCCAATACTGTTTGATCATGTTTGTTGATTTTCGTTGGATTCAAGTTGAACCATACAGGGACTGTGGCCCAAGTTTGCGACACCCACCATCGGACCATCACCAGGAAACCATGAATCCGAGACTTATCAAAGCCATGGGCTGAGTCACCCAAATGGCGGAGAAAAATGGCTTGGACTTGGAGCTTCAGGCTCAGTCGGCTTTGCACACGTGCCCAGTGGCCAAATCGCGTTGAGCTGTTGTTAAGGTATATTAAGGTCGCGCTTTTACCAGAGCTCATTGATTGTCGTCAAATCAATTCAGGGTGCTACGATTGAAACCACCTGCGTGCAGGGTTTGATAGCAGCCTTGCATAGCAAGATGGCATGCGGCTGCATCCGCCTCACAGTGGGTGAGCCTAACCAGGTCCTCCATCAACGCTACCAATCAAACTACTGCAAACTTGAAATAACTTGAAGGGGCTAGCGGCTGAGTGCTAAATCGTCTCCAGCCAAAAGATGGACTTTCCCAAACAAAAGACTATGGAGAGTGGACTTGTGGTGCTTGTCTTGGTCTGGGAGTATCTGGGAGTGCACCATGGTGGGATATTTGGTATGCAACATGGCAAGCTAAGTATTGATGTGTGATCTGGATAATGCCTGAGATATACAGCCCAGCCCTTCAGTGGGGAGCACTCAACCATACTCCACCCCCGTGCCGTCCCGCGCACCTGGCCGTCCCGTTCACACCAGTTCACGCCCACGCCTCACGGTTCACTGCTGCCCTGCAGCGGGGATTTACCGTTGGATCCCGCGCGGGATCTCCGTTGAAACATGTCCAGCGGGCTTGGCAGAATGAAAAAAAAGGGGGTTCCACTCAGGTTCCCAGAGGCGGAAGCGGCGGAAGTCATCTTTTTTGTGGGCCTCCCCCCTCCCCACTTGATTAAGTAGGCGCCTACTTAATTAAGTGAGGGAGAGACTATCATGGAGGCAGGATAGCTCAGGCTTCTTCAAGGAAGCTCCCCCCGCTTTAGGGGGGAGCTTCCTTGAAGAAGCGCTGGCACTATTCATTTGGTTCCTAGATTTAGGGAAACTTAATCTTAGGTGGGAGGCCATCACTCTTAGGTTGTGTGACACAGTGAGAACACGTGATAACCTCATTCCTTTTCGTCCGATCTTCCATGTGTTTCTCGGCTCCTGCCTTATTTTTCTGGCTTGAGGTTCGACTCAGAAGTTTCTCCTGGTGATGCTTCCTGTCATTTCCCAACTCCCAGCTGCATTTTTCCGCGTCTAAGTCGTTTGAAAATCTTTCGCGACTGGGTGCTCCCAAGCTCTCCAGGCTGTCGAGAATATTCCTCGAGTTTCTGGAGCTGCACACAAGAAGTGACCAGCAAAGACTAGTTTTTGAGATGAGGAGCACAGTCATTAAAAGGAACCGTAGATCGAAAAGGGAACATAGAAAGCGATCGAAGCGCTTTCGATCTCCTTTTCGAAGGACACAACCAGTTTAAGACATCCGTTTGGGGATCGGATGGGATCGGAACAGATGGGACACCGCTCGCTTTGCAGTCGATCCACACCAAACGAGTAGTCGAGGATACGCTGATTACAAGCCTGAGGATACGCTTGTGGCACTTCTGCGGCGAAAGGAGACGGATTGGGATCTCCGGTCGGTAAGACAAAGAGCAGCTTCATTCAGGTGCTTTTGCAACCAATGTTGATCAAAGTTGTACTAAAGCGTTCATTTTCTTTGTGTTTTTTTGACAAGATCCAAGATAACTGCTAAGACCTGCTTTGCATTTAGCACTTTGGGCATGATCAAAAGATGTCAAAATCTAATTACGCAATGGTTTTCTTGCGGGAGGGCCCAAGTCATCCGAAGTCTTTGTTAATAAATAAATCTTTGAGAGTTTTCTTAGCTGAGGGCGAACTCCACAACCATGTTAATGTTGTTTGTGTGGCGAAACCACCATATAGCCAGCTTTACTTGCTGACTAGTGATTGTTTGAGTGCCCGTGCTGAGTACGACAACGCTCCCCAGTTTTCCTGGAACCTGCTTCATCCATTCCTTTGATCTGAAAGATTTTCTCGCACCATAACTGCGTGTCATGCAATGCCGTGGCGTTCCAGCCGTAGCAAGGACAAAGAGCTAAAGGCGCAGCAGTTGAAGATCGAGAAGCTTGAGGAGAGATATGTGAAGGTTGGAACCACTTGGGAGTATGCCGGGTGCCTTTGTTGGATCGATCCATCATCGTTCTATCGGAGTGTCACTTTTGATGTGGTTGGCTGGATTTGGCTGTGCCTCAACCACTGGGTGGTTCCGACCCATCAAACTTAAATTTATGTTCGTTCCATAGTTGATGTCAATCTTGATAGGCATTGGCGTCCTGCCAGGCCAAGCCTGCTAGAGCTCATGTGAGATATTTATAATTACTAGCGTGTAGTAACAAGAAGCTAGTAGTAGCAAGTGCCACGCTAGTAGTAACAGGTGCCTTACTAGTAGTAACAAGAAGCCAGTAGTAACAAGTGCCACGCTAGTAGTAGCAACTGGCGGGATGGACTGGAAAGCACTACCCTTGATGCGGTAAGAAGAATGACCTAATATGCTTTGTCGGGTGAATCAACAATGCCGGCAGTTTGCTTGATGCCTAGAAGATGGATCTGACGGATTTGGCCAGGTTGTGCGATTCAACAAGATTCTCACGGAGGAATGGGTGGAGCAAGAGCTTGTGCACAAAAAGGGTCAAGAATAAAGACTGTTCTGGCCAGCAAGATGGGGTTGGGTCTCAAAGCGCTTTCCCTTGCCACGAGTGTGAGGTCCCTCTAGTCGGAGAGGCATCCGTTTGGGGAAGAAATGAACAAGTGTATACAACTGTGCACACTTAGGAGCAAGGACGCTACTAGGGGCTCCTGGCCTTACTACTGAAGCAAGGACGCTACTGGGGCTCCTGGCCTTACTACTAGGAACAAGAAGCTACTAGGGGCTCCTGGCCTTACTACTAATTGGATTGGCATTGAGGAAGGGGAGGGCACAAACAGGATCGGCAATCCTTCCAGCGGTTCTGTCACGAGTTGCTCCCTGAGTGCGTTTGGCGCTTAGAAAATCGAAATGCACAAGTTGCAGAAAAGAAGCGTTGGCAAACGATTTAGTCTCGACCATGGTATTTAAACGTCAGTGAAGGCAGACTTGGAGCTTGTCCTTCTCAAATTGTCGACTATACAAAAGTTATCTCAAAACTTCAAATCGTGCAAGTTGGCAGTGTCACTTTAGAAAGCGCGCCTCAGGAAATATTCAAAGTGTTGAATTTGTTTTTGGTGTTGTTTTTGTATTCAACCCAAATTGGGACGTTTTGTTCATTCTCACTTAAAGTGGCAAGGGGGAACGAAGGAGCCCATGCGACCTTTTCCTAGAGCGGTCACTCGAGAGTAAGGTGGCTGTACGGTCAACATCATGAAGTGCCGAACGAATGGGATGAGTTGCAGTTCAACTCACCCTGGTACCTCCCTGGGTTGCCTCAAGGCGAAGCGTCTTCACACGGTCTTTGTAGATCTTCTGAGTGGCTCTCTGACGAGCCCTCTGTTTCTGCCATGAGGCATCTTCCCGGAGACACCATTCGTTGGACTCTAAAAAGTCTGGGAGGAGTCTATTGCCTTTGTCTTTGGTAAGACTATCGGCTAACTGTTGTGGACCAGGAACCCAACGACACAAAGCCCGATTGGCTTCATTCAACAATGATTCCTTTATGGCCAACAAATCTAAAGCCGTGCGGCGGTCTTGCGGGAGACTTTCAGTCTGAAGAGTATCAAAAGCCGTTTTGGCATCAAGAACAAGAATCAGTTCCCACAAGCGAACAAAATGTCCCCACCGCTTCACTTCAAAATCGCTACACATCACTTCACAAAACAGGGCACGGATGTACTCTCCATGTTCAAAAGCCAAAGAGGCAGCACAGGCTTCAATGGCCATGGAAGACCGCACAACCCGCTTACATGACGTGCTTTGCCATTCGATCAGATTCATGCGAGCACCGCCATCTTTGATGGCAGGGTTTGCTAATCCAACCAACCAACCTTGCTGAGAACGTCCTCCGGGCATTGAGCCATAGGCTCCATCCGAGGAAATCACAAAAATGGCCTCTTCCAAGGGGCAACCCAAATGAACAAACCGCAAGGGAAGCTCCTTCTTGAGAGCTTTAATGACGGTGTTCACTTGCCGAAGGTGTTTCACCTGAGGATCTGAAAAACTTTGTTGGAGCCAAGATACTAAGAACAACACGTCGGGACGACTTTGTCGTGCTGCCCAACTTAGCTTACCGACAGCAGATCTCAGGTCCGTCACTTGTGCCTCAGTCAAGGGTTGTTGATCAGGAAGGTGAGCGTCGATGATCACCTCTTCTAAGTCAGCACAGTACTCGGTCATATTGGTGGTGACCTCTAGAGTGGAAGCGTCCTGCACAATTTGTCTTCCCAAAAACTTGAAGCCGTCGATCATGGAATTCCAGCTGCCGAAAGTCAAACGAGTCTTGAGTTCTTCCCAGACAGGTTCTGCCAAGTCACTGCCGGCTAGAAGAACATCATCTACATGAACAGTGGCCATAGCTTCAAGCTTCCCCTTCACATGGAGAACAAAGACACATGGTGCTAAAGACAGTTCCCGAAAGCCCAAGGCATACAAGTGTTTGCGAAGGCCTAAGTACCACAAGCGAGGGGATTCATTCAAACCAAAAACGCCCTTCACCACTTTGACGAGATCAGTTCTGTATCCTTTCAGCTTGTCATCAAGATACGACACAACACCTGCTGGCAGCTTTCTGGGCATCCAAATGTAAAGCGGCTTGTCCCGAGGAAGGGGTTCTCCCTGCAAAAAGGCAGCAGTGATGTCCCCACCATATCCCCTCCATTTCTTTCCAACCATGACTATCAGGAGAATGTGATGCCCAAGTAGTTGAGCTGTTGGAGATGACGTGGGATACTCCCCAGCTTGAGGATCTCGATGACCCCCCCACACACAACCGTCCCTTGGGCCCAAACAATCGTTGGAGCCACTTTTTGTTCACGATGACAAACCTGCTCTGCAAAGTGGCTTCCTTGGCTATTGGGGTATCCAAGGGGACTGGCTCTACAGCTTGATACTGGAAATGAATGTCCAGAGCCTTGATGAGCGCTGGCACGGTCAACCTTTGTTCTGTCGGGGTCATGTCCTTGAAGTATATTTCTCCACGAGGTCCAGGTTCTGGTCCTGCCCGATGACCCCGCTCAAGCTCCATTTGTTGGCCATCGAACTCTTCAATCATGGCCTTCATGCGCTCAATCTCTGAAAGAGATGTCGAAGACTGCAGAGCCCATGCTTCCAGAGCCATCTTGGCCTCAGCAACCCACGGACCCACTGAACTGACCCCTGCTTCAACAGGCATCGCAGAGGCTAAGTCATTCTCAAGTCGAGGTGTCTTCAACATGGATTCTCCGCCCCCATCACGTTGTCGGACATGCTCTTGCAACCCTTGTTCGATAGCATTGTCGACTGCCTGAAGATCCTTCTCGGCGGAGAGCCGTTGAAGTGCCGATGGCAATGGTTTCTTCTCATCGACCTGGGAAAGGATGGATTTCCAGGTCTCATCGCCTCCACGTTCAAAGAATTCGATCTTTTCTGTCACTGTCGATGGGCGCTGAAGCTCATAAGGAGAAGCTCGGAATTTCCGTGGCAAGCCATCTAGAACTCGACAACGGTCAGCTGACTCCTTAGCCAAGGCCACAACTTCGGGTGTAGGTTGAGGTACTGGAGCAGTTGAGACCGGTGGCGCGGTGTCCAGGACTCCTTCCTTCGGGTCCGCCCCTGTCATGCCTGAGTGGAACTGCGTCTCGCTGGGGGCGCCGGAAGGAAGGTCACCTGAACTGGGGCCAACAGTTTCAACTGCTTCCGCCTCTTCTCCTTCTTCTTCATAGCCTGGAGGCCGTCGGTTACCCGTCAGCTCTTCCTCCATAGTCCTCAAGGCATCCATGATGAAACTTGGCCCGACTTCCTCTTCTGGCGTAGCCAGGCGCACGTTCTCCAGAGCAACCCGAACAACAGAGCCCTTGTACCGAACCCAAAGTCGATCCGGCCCATCAGCACATGCCACAACTGCCGGCCCTTGGTAGCCAGTTGCAAAGTCTTGCAGCCTCTTGTTCTGGCCTGGTTGCTTGAAGAAATAGACCACCGTTCCAGGAGCTAACGCATCAGCCTTCAAATGAGGAGGCCTACTACGACTGTTCAAAGCCATTCGGAGACGCTCATGTGAATCCAACCAATGAAAGGCTGCAGCTGCTTCTTGCCGCATACGCTCCATGGATTGGTGCTCTTCATTTTCTAAAATCTGGCTGTTGGAAGCAAAGCGCACCTCAGCTCGATCAACTTGTTCCAACAAGGACGAGGGCGCGACCTGATCACGGCCTTGAACTACTTGAATTGGTGATTTTCCACACCGCCTCATGAGGCGATTCTTGGCCTGAACCGCCATAGCCAGAGCATAGCTTAGGGAACTTTCCTTGTTGAGAACTAGCTCATGGATCATGCGCAAGAAGATCAGCTTGAGAATAGCTCCATGCCTTTCAGCTAGACCTGCCTTCCACTTGGCTGACGTGGGATGGACATGCATGTGAATGTCAAACAACTGGCACAAGCAAGGAAACTTGCCTCGGAATTCAGGGCCTCCATCTACCGAGATCTCTTTTGGAGGTCCGTGAACGAGGATCCAGCGATCGAACAAAACACTGCAACTAGTCTGTGCTGAGGGATTCTTGGATTGGAGAGAACAGCGTACTGCAAGGAGCAAAACCCGTCGACGACATGAGTCACATTCCAGCGTACACCATCAGCGTCCAGCACAAAGAATGAGTCCAGACTGCAATGTTTGTTGAATCTTTCCGGAGTTGTGGCTGATGACTTCGTGGCCGAGACTGTGGGGTGTATCCTAGAACATACTTCACAGCGGAGATCTCGAGCCGCTTGCACCACGTCGGACTTAGCTCCCTGCAGCTTCAACATCCGAGCCATCCGTTCATTGGAAGGATGGCCCAGGGTCGAATGCAGTTTGGCCACCTGATTTCTGATGGCCTTGTTCACCCTCAGTGAAGGTCCAACAAAATGGCAGTATCCATACCTACTCCCAATCCCACTGAAATCACCCTTCCTTTCTTCTTCCTCTTGTTGGAGGCGTTTGAAAAGATGACGAACAGCTAATTCGGTTTTCATGTCTTCTGGCACCACCCCATGCTCTGACCAAGCCTCAGCCCGATCCCCTTCTTCAGCTGTGAGCGCTGCATGTGCCCAAGGTTCGGACACGGCAGTGACTTCATCATGAGGAAAACACGAATGCCGATCACGACACTCCCCACACCACCCTGTCCTACAGGTCGGACACCACGAGGCCCCGAGGTTGTAGCAACCCACACAAGCGCAAGTCAGAGCCTGGTAGTTGGTCTCTAAAAACACGGGTGATTCGGCGCAACCCTCCTCAAAATCTGTGACGAAGGTGCTCACGCCACTGTGGCGAGCAAAACACGGAGTCCACATGCCGGCCACCAAGGAACGATTGACCCATTTGCCATCTACAAAAGTTTGACCTTCAATGACCTCATGTTCATGGGGTGCATGTGAACAAAGCCCGTGATGCATGAGCGCTGCTGCAAAAATCTCTGAGTTGACGTCTAAAGCAGTGCGTTTCCGATACAACTTGGAAGTCATGGGATCCTTTCAGTTCAATCTGACACTGATCTACCACCGCTCGGAAAACTGCTGGTCGATCGCGCATACAATCAAGAGATAAAGCGGCACTCCGCAATGGTTGTTCCAAAAGCACCAAACGACCTGCTGCATGCTGTTTCTTCCATACTTTAGCTGAAAAGGTCCAAAAAGGCATATGAAGTGCACGTTTGAACTCCAACAAGTCCTTCCTAGGATTGAGGCTCTGCAAAGAAGACCACGGACCACAAGGGGGTTCCAAACAGACCAAATCGGGCTCCCACTGATCTAGTTGAGAAAGAACCAATGCTTGTTCTTGAGGTGTCAACAAATCTGACCCATACATCAAATCTACCGGCTCCAGTGCAATCCACTTCCCTGTCGACTTCGCAATGAGTGACAAGTTGGCGCTCCCACCAAAATTTTCTAATACCTTCCAACAAGATTGCTCACTGCACTTGGCCACCAATGTCAACTGTGTAATTGCATGTTTTGCCTGTTTGATGCTGTGTTTCAACCGCTGCACTTGTCCTCGATTCCATGCATGTTGTGACGGTGGCGGCGCAGTGATGGATTGGCTCACTCTCACTTCATCAGCGGCGGGCCGCGAGGCCCCTGCAGCGTCTTCACAGCGCCCCCGAGGTGTCCCCAAAGAGCGGCCGTCTCTCGCGAGAACATCATGGCCAACCAGCGGGGGTGGCGCTTGTAGCGGCGCCCCTCCGCCTCCAGGGCATTCCGAGCACGCACCATCCACACGAGCTGCTTCCACTTGACCCAGCTCATATTGAAGACTGCGTCCCCGCTGAGGGTCATCCCCAGGGTCGGAAACTCGGCATTGAGTCCCGTCACTGCCAGCACCTGCTCCTTCTTGGACAAGGATTTGGTTGACACCTTCTTGAGGTTCTTCTGGTCGGTCTCGCCCTCCAGAGTCGATGCCGCTGCCACTGAGCCCTTGGTCTTCTTGGCCTGGGCTGTGGTTGCATAGCCCTTGACCGTGGCTTGCTTCTCCATGCTCTCGTCCAGGCGGGTGCCATGGGCTGTCTTCCGGTGCAGCGATGGCTCTTCCTCCACTGGCTCCACTTCGGACCCCCACTCTTCCTCCCCGTCGGTCAACGACACAATCTGGGGAGTTGCCGCCGCCGCCGCTGCACGCCGCCGTTGCGCCGCCATGGATCGAAGGGGACGGACGTGAAGGGCTCGGTGAACGCACAGTCGTTCGAACTGCTACGTGAGAGCTGTGAGGGCGAGCGCGGCGAGCACCTCGTCCAACTGGCTCTCCAGAACGCAGCTCAAAACACTGGATCTCTTCATGTTGGATTTTGGGAATATGGCCAGCTGTCAGCAATTGTTGCCATTGGGGCCACGCCGGATGAAAATTATCAACGCTCAACAAAAAATGTCCTTCTTGTGATTCTTGTGATGTAGTAAAATGCTGTCCACGAACCCCAATATTCGTCAGGTCAAACCGGCCTGACCCGCAATCCAACTGAAGTCCCAAGGCCGAACACACCCCTTTTGAGAGTAAAGGAGGACATGGGTATTCAACGGCGTTGATCGCCAACAATCCAACATGTTGAGCCAACCCTACTTCCAAAAACACTCTGTAATGAGATGGTCGCCTCTCCCCATCGCCAAACCTGAAATAATCCAATGTTTTGCGAATCTCCACAAACCGACCTTGTGCACGACATCGAGCGATCTCCTGAACCACCCACTTCACCCCGGCCACGGTCCGCAAACACCCCAAATCCACTACCATTCTTGCTGGTGTTCACCAAGGTCACAAAGTCCCCAGACGAAAACGAAGTGCTACCCTCCCAACTAGTCATCGCAGCCATATATGCTCGGGGCGTTGCCTGTTGTTGGTCCCGCATCATCTGTTCTAAGACTGCGGACATTGCAGCATGCTCTGCCTGCTGCTCCGGAGAAGGAACGGAAGACTGTGCTGGGGCGGTCACCAAGGACGCTGATGAACTCTTGGCATTCTTAGGACACTCAGGGTCCTTAGACCAATGTCCACACTGGCCGCATCCGCGGCAGGGATTCTCTTGCATGAGTTTCCTCAGGCGCTCACGACGATCTGGCTGCACAGATGGTTCTGTTTTCTGGAAGTAACCACGGGCCTGCTTCAAAGCCCGAAGTTTGGCCTGCGAGGCCGAGAAGGCAGCCATCTTCCCCGCCGCTGTAGCCGCTCACCTCCTCCACGACATTCACCTTGTAGGGTTGCCACGGACGGCGGCCTTCACGCCCGCCCTCATGGGCGGTGGCTGTTTTGGATGATGGTTGGTCTGGCTGCAACTCAGGAAGCAATGGAGCATCAATGACTCCCTCCCCAATCGGCACTGTGCCCTGCAAGAAAGGCCCCATGCGGCGCAGGGCAGGAAAGACACAAACGGAGGACATCTGATTCTGGGCTGCAGCAAGGACCATGACTCTGTCCTTCAACGTGAGCTCAGCATGGTCCAAGATGTAGCCCACAAGGAACCGGTCACCTACTGCGAAGGTCGGGTCCTCCTCCTCCATCACGGCTCGTTGAGCCTGCACCCGCATCAGGAAGCTATCCATGCTTTCACCGGCTTGACGCCGACATCGCAGGAACTCGCGCTGCGCTTTTTCACCGCGTTGGTGGGGCTACTCTCAAGAGCCTGGAAGACCAAATCTAAGCCGCCGGACTGACTCACCTCCTCAATCTTCAAGTGGCGGACAATGACACTAGCGCGACCCTTCAACATGGCTAAACACCGGAGACCCATGACCTCTTCTGGCAACTGTCCTCCCTCTCCAGCGATCCAACACCTCACGGACCGCTTCCACTCAATGTAGCTCTCGCTGGGAGATGCGCTGAAGGCTGGAGGGTATGTGCTTGGAATCTTGCGCGCGCCTGAAGATGACCCCTTTGAACTCTTCAGGGATGTCTCCATGGCATCCCCATTGGGCTCATCATCTAACCTATGGTGTTCCCAAGACCCTGGCGGCCAAGCGGCCGGATTCATCTCCAAGCTTTCGTCAACCTTGGAGTCATTGTACCAGGCCACATCAACAGCCCCAGGACGTTCACCGACCCGGAGGAAGACCATGTACATGTCGATCTACACCACCTTCACCCCCTGGTACCCGAGGTTGACCACCATCTTCAGGTTCACCCGCATGATGCCAAGACCATGAAGTACCACCGGAGGGCCATGACCACCACCACGGAGACCAGGAATCCCACTGCCTATCGCTAGCCCCCCATTGCCATGACCATGTACTGCTCGACCAGTCGCCCCCATGCCACTGGTAGTGTGAATCCTCCCAGCTTCGCCTCCTCTTCCCGTCCCCGCCAGCTCGCGACCAAGGATCAGAGTGAACTAGCCATGGGTCCTCAGACCCCCCAACACTAGCTGCTACCTCGTCACCCAAGAAAGCGGCTGGGTCCTCGACGGGCTCTGCTCTCGAGTGCTCTCGCTCACCTGCTTCAGCGCTAACCGCCGCCGCAGCCCCGTTCCCTTCACTGCCAGCCGACCCTGGCATCGCTCCCGCACGCTCACCGACGTGCTCGTCCGCCTCGCCACCCGCCGATCGACGTCGGCACCTGCTTGGTTTCCATGACATGGCGCGACGGCAACGAACCTACCTACCACGGTAACCATTTTCGGGCCCCGCTACCACTTAAAGTGGCAAGGGGGAACGAAGGAGCCCATGCGACCTTTTCCTAGAGCGGTCACTCGAGAGTAAGGTGGCTGTACGGTCAACATCATGAAGTGCCGAACGAATGGGATGAGTTGCAGTTCAACTTTCTCGTTTGGCCGGATGCGTCGTATCCTGGAGACCCAGCGACCTGGACGTAGCTCGTGTCGAAGTCGGCGAAGTCTCCCGGATGGCGCCGAGGATGGCGCCTTTGAGGAGGCCGCTGCACAGGAGACTGCAGCTGATTTGCGCCTTGTATATGAGATGATCTAGGAACAAGAAGCTACTAGTAACAAAGGGCATCGCTACTAGGAACAAGAGGCTACTAGTAGCAAAGGTAAGGGGTGTTGAGATGATAAGGCCTGCAGCGCATGAGATGAGTTCATCGGGAATTGACACGTTCTTCCCGAGGCAAGAGCTCCTGAGGCAGTTGGCAGAATGGAGACGCACCTTGGCACAATGATGTTCGATTCTTTGCTTTGACAATGTCAAGTCTTTAAAACAATGATTTTTGGCATCTTTTGGGTCCGTACAATACTCTCATTGTGGGTACAAGTCGCTTGCTCAACTCCTTCGCTGAACAGTAGTCAGTCTCCGTTCCACCGTAGTCTCCGGTGGTCTCGAGACTGGTCGTCCGGCCTTTTCTCGACTCTCCGGCCTTCAGGTCATGGAAATGCTGCTCATGAAGACCGAAAGGTGCGTAAAGACGAAGTAGTAACAAAAAACTATTAGAATTAAATTAAATAGTTTTCTTGTTGCTACTAGAAGGCACTTGTTACTACTAGCGTGGCACTTGTTACTAGTAGTTTCTTTTGGCCGTTACGTGTTTTCTTTGGCAGAGAGGAAGTCACAGCCAATTGACAAAGCCACATTTGATAGTTCCCCCCCAGGGTGATCTTATTTGTCCCTGCTTGTCCTTCGCGCCCATGTTTTTCTTATCATCTATCACGCATCAACGGCTTTCCTCAATTCCTTCTTCTTTTTCGTGTTCATATGTTCAAAATTGTTTATATATATATATATATATGTACTATACATAGTTTATCATACTTTAACATGTTTAAGCCGTTTTTATTGCTTTTCCATCTCTTGCACTAGCCACATCCAGTGAAAATCAGATGTGCTCCTCCCCCAGGGCCCTTGGCATTTGGCTTTAATTGGACCGAAATGGCAGGTTTGTTTAATTGGGATGGTGAAATGGTCAACCTACTATGGAAGAGTGATGAAGAGTGTGCGAGGCCATGGGTTTTGATATGTGATCATTTCATATCATGTCAAATATCATCAAAAATGTAATATAGTCTTGAATTCTATCGATTTGTCTCTCCATTGCACCATATGAATATACCCATCTCGTGCCAGGTCTTCCAGCAATTCTTGGATCTCATTTTTCCCAACGATGAAGCGATCGCCGGGCTCTTTGCGAGGCGAAGTGACCCAACTCTCTTTGGTCCGACAAGCCGTTGGTCAGCAAATCCATTCGCGCCTTGCGGAGGCCAAGCATGGGCGAAGGGGCCTTCGATCTGCTCCAAACGAAATGGATGAAGCTGGAGGACCACTTCAACAGTCAGACGAAGTGAGATGACTCTGATGACTCGACATGCCCACGGGATCGCATCACCCACTCAACCAACAGCTGAGCATGGTGAAACCGTTCTCCCTATGACTGGCTATGGTTGTTCCCCGCGGCGCCCCGCGGGCCCCGTACACGCCCGTACACATGGTGCCGTGCAGAACGACCGGTCTCCCTTCTACCTACGTTGGATGGTTTGTGTAGGCAGCCTTGAGAAATGCTTTGTCTTGCAGCTTTGTAGCAAAGTGGAGCCAGAAACCCTATGACCCATCAGACTCTGACATGTTTCGGCCCTGGCCGAAGCACAGTGACATTTGCATGATTTTGCATGTGCAACAAGTCCTCCCTATGATCTATCATGGTATACTTGTGTTTTGCCGATTGGTCCAAGACACCGGCAGCCAGCAGTGACCAATAGTTTGACAGCAGTCTTGTGGTAATTCCATGTCGCCCATGTCGCCCATAGGACCTACACAACCAGTCAATCTCCAGCATCAATGCGATGGCCCACGACCAGGTGCGAGCATCGGTCCAGCGGAGGTCCGACACACAAAATCGCCCAGCGATGCCAGGCACTGGCGCAACAAGAGGATCTTTATGCCGCGCAGCGAGCGCAGCTGGAAGCAGAGAAGAAGATCCAGGACCAAGCGAGTGGAACGCGGACAGATCCGGGACCGAGAAGGTTCGTTGATGCCCCACCTGTCAGACGAGGGTTGTTCGATTTTTAAGAGAGGTGCCAACAAACCAAAATGTTCAATACTGAGAAATGGGTCCAGCATAACGAGTCCAAGATGCCAAAACTGGGGAGAATTCGAGTCGGCCTCCGTGGCGACATATCCTTCACCTGGTGGTAGAGGAAGACAGTCTGAACAGCACACTCCTGACAGGATCTGACAGTCAGGGGATGTTTGGGGGAGTATGATTCAATTTTGCGTGTTGGAGTGTGAGGAACCTAGATCATATTTGCCCTAGAACATTATGGGCTCAACACAGATCCATTGCAAAAAGTGGCGCAATGAATCTCGCACGGACCTCCCCGTCTACCAGTTGAAAAAACCTATTTGTTTAAAAAAAAAAAAACATAGAAATAAAACATGGGCAACGGAAGGCGACGAGATGAGAGAGAGAAGTTTCACCCAACTCTCCTGGATGACTGATAGGCTCTTTCAATGACTGATCCGCTTCCAAAACGAAGGCCTTGCAAGACGAGCTCGCGGGCATGGCTCGGGAGAAGGCGTGGGTGGGAAGGGATTGGCGAGAAACAGAGGGGATCTGAAAACAAGATTTGAAATGATTTGAAGAAAAACACCAAAGACGAGATCTCGTCTTGTTGACAGATGAACTTGCCGGAAAATCTGTGTTTAGTCGATCGGGTCTATCCGAGCCACCACAGGACGATCATCCTTTTCAGTTCCTTTCGTCAGCACTCGTTGAACACCCGTGCCGGCACTCGTTGAACTCCTGGATTGCCTGGATGCGATGAAGACACCAGACATGGAGAGAAGCAGATGTTGGTCACTGCCCAGAGGGCATCATGTTTCTCCGTTCTTCATGTTTGTTCATCCTGTGCTTGGCTGAGGCACAAGTGTTGAAGCAGAAGCTTGATGGGAAAAGCACAGGCACCAGCCCTTGATGTGGCAACAGGAGTTCTTTGATGTTCTTTGATGTATGAGACATGGCGCTTAAAAAAGCTCCATGCATCTGTGAAGGAAGCTGCACTGCTGCACTAATTAGACGCAGAAAACGACAAAAACTTGGGGTGTGCATGTGTGTTCATTGTTCATCCAGCGTTCAGTATGAGACATGGAATTCTGCGATGCGTCCCACGCTCGACAGCTGACCATCGTTCGATCCTTGGCGCCAGGTTCTGGCGATGCCGAGCAGGCACCGTTTAGACATGGGATGCTTTGGCGATCTCAGAGTCTACAGAGGGGGTTACGGAGTATGAGTAAGGTCTACAGAATCTACAATCAAAAAGGGATTCAAATGCATAGTTTTAGACAACTGAATCAACATCCAACAAAAAAAATGGCTGAAAAATGTGTGTCCTCTAGCGTCACTCTGTGCCCTGCTGTTGATCATGGGTTTGAAGGTGCCTGGCACAGCATTTATTTTTGCCTTGTGTTTGGCAGTTCCAGTGCTTCACCCGGCCAACCTCGTTTTCAAGTTGTCGTTTATTTGTGACACTAGCAAATACATACAAATACCATTCAATCATATTCAATCTACCCTTAAAGGCTTGCAGGTTGAGCCACTCAGCTGGTTTCGCACGAGATTTTGTCCAAGATCTCCAGGTCGCATCCATCTCAAAAGATCCGCGCGAGCAACGCGCTTTGGAGGAGGAAAAGGCAATTGCTTGCACAGAGAGAGAGAGAGAAGGAAAAAAAGAACAACACATGAAAAACAAACAATCAACAACATCGTGCGAGTCCTTTCTCACTTAGGAGTCCTACCTTGATCCGATCCTGTTGATTCTTTTCTCAGGATGCCTCTACACTGCGGGGTAAGGGCGGACATCCCGATAAGAAGTAGGACCACTTAGGCCGTATCCTGCTCGGGAGCGGTTCATTATTATTTTGTCAAAGTGTGTTCTCAGGACCTGTACTCACGCCATGTCTACAGTTGAGTCTACGGCTTGCACGGAAGAACTCCAACAGCTTGGAAGAACGAATACCGAGGAGGTTGCAATGATTACAATTGATCCAAGGATCCAAGGGGAACAAGGACGCTACGAACGGGGCAAAGGGCATCACTACGAAGGGAGCGATCGGACGCTACGTTCGGGGCTCCTGGCCGTACTACTAGCTACGAACGTAACAAAAAGCTACTAGGGGCTCCTGGCATCGCTACTAGGAGCAAGAACGCTACGTTCGGGGCTCCTGGCCTTACTAGTAAGAAGCATTCTTGTCCTCACGAGATCATTTGAAAGAGACACTCCGATCGTCCGCCGTGGCGGCAGCAGCCGTTCGATGGGGCAGCCGTCGAGATCGTCAGCGGACCGTGACGTGTCCAGGCTGCTGCCGAGCGGCGGGAGAGGGAAGCTTGGCAGTCCTTGGATCGTCAGCGTGAGGCGACGGCTGGCACGGAGGAGTTTCTTTTTGTCTTAGACTTGAGGAATAGCTGGTCTGTGGTAGTAGGCCTTGTAGGCAATACAAGGGAAAGCCTCAAGAAATACATATTATGGATTTGTAGGTGCAATGGCCCTCACGCAAGAATGGAATCTGATTTTCGGGTCATGCTTTGAATACACTTGTCAGCACGGGATAAAGTGAAGTTCCACATGCGAATGCGCCAAGTATTGGTTAGTACTGGTTATATATACATAGACAGTTGGAACAGAATTGATCGACAACTTACTTTGACGCGTCATTATTAACACGAACTTACAACCTTCCACCTGAGAGTTATGGACAGTTGGCTGTTGTTGATGTCTTGTTTGCAGGCCATGCAGGCGTGGAGCCTTAATATCCTTAGTGACGCATGTTTCGGGGACAGATGTTTGGACAACGATCGAAGGGTTCACTCGATCCAAGTGGTGCCTTGCTTAATTGCAAACATCTGCGTTATTCGCCGCTTGTAAAACCTAGAACATCCAAACGAACTACCAACGACAAGGATGACAAAGATGTGAAAGATCCTGGAGAACGTCAGATGTAGCAGAACGTCCCGCAATGATTTCATTTGCTTCTATGTCTATGGAGTTACGAAACTTCAATCTTCAAATCATTTCCTTTGTGCGTGAGGAACGTGCCAAATCGCTCTGGGCTTTAGCAGCTGCAACTCCATGGGGAGATGTGACTCAGTACATGACCCGTTGGGGCTTGTACGAGCATGGCGCAGGGGCCTCATAGGTCTACGCATATCTTACTAGTATCTTACTAGTAATTGGTCTACAACAAAAACTCGGTGCAGGACATGAAATTGCTTGAATGTTCACGTCCACGCTCTTACAAAGGGATACGTAGCCGCAGAGTCCTCATGGAGGGGCCTGCTTCCAGCGAAGCAACATGCACTGCCCCAATGGCGAAAAAGGTGATTGCTTCCTTCGTGATGCTTGGCCTTTTGAGCATTCTATATCTTCAAGTTAACTTCACTGCCTATGAAAGGCCGTGACGGACAGGGACCGCAAGTCGCGCTATATCTTCAAGTTAAGAGGACAAGAAGGGTTGATTAGAATAGGGAGACCCTCCCTGGCCCAAGGGGTTTGGTCGTGTATTTTTTGATATGTTTGTTTCACAACTTCACAAGTGTCAGTGTCATCAGCGGTGTCATCCTATTCTAGAAGGAGCCTGATTGTTTTGCAAAAGCTTGAAGTTCAACAGCCACATGCTGCTTGTTTAAACATTTTTCCAGTGAATAGGCATGTTGTGGGAAGATATATGGGATTTGTGCCATCTGAGGAACCATGTGTTCACGTTCGGCCCCATCTATAGCTTTGGTGTGTTCTTGCCGATCATGAAGGCGCGGACCGCACCTGCACGGGCGTCACAACTGAACAGTTGCAGCACAGTCTTGGCCAACACGCGGCTATTTGATCCTATTTGGCTGTCAGGCAGACTTGGGCATTTCTCTCACAGAGGCATGCGTCTCCAAATCGCACTGCAGTGTCAGAGTATGAGTATGGCATGCAAAAGCAGTGACACATGTCAGTACTTTTGAAGCTTTTGAAGATTTCCGTGGCACATTGTGAAGCAGCAGCTGTGATGCCCTTTCGGGTTTGAGAAGCCAAAAGACTTGCTGCTCCAAAAAGGGTTCCTTTGTCATCCTTTGGCCACGTGCTGAAACACGAAAAGAACATAGACAGACATTGCTACGGCGGCTACGGGTAGCGCACTGCGAAGATCTGGGAAGGGGTGGACTGATTGTTGTGTGGTCGCGCATTCCAGGCGTCTGCCATTAGCAGCACGATGAACACCGCACAGTTCGTTGGCTCACTACTAGCAGGCAAAAGCCTCAGTTGAGTGATACTAGCCACTAGGTTGGAGGCCATCGCTACTAGGTTGGAGGCTATTGCTACTAGGTTGGAAACCATTGGTATTGGGATGGAGGCTAGATGCTTACCAGTTTGCTCTCCTTCGGGTTCACAAGCGCTCTCGTAGTTGTGGTCACTCAGGTCTAGTGATACCGCAGCGGTTGGGGCATGCTTCGGTGGCTTTCTTCGGTGCTGTGGCAGTGCTGATAGGCCTTGCTCTACTGTCCATGGCTGCGTTGGCCGCAATCGAAGTCCTGTTGCTATGGAAAGTCTCTAGCTGGATGCAAAGTCCTGCAAGGCAAGGTGCAAGCTGCCAGGACATTAATAGCTATGGCCCATGGCCTAATTATGCAGGTGATTTGGATTGATCGACAAGGTGAAGCTTTTTGATCTGGCTTGCGGATTTTGGCTGGATGCCTTCCCTTTATCCTTTGAAAAGCTACCAGCGTAAGCTGGTGAGGTGAGCGTAAAATGTAGAAGTGCCAAAAGGGATAAAGCAACAAGAACAGGACCCGCTTCAGCCATATTTGGTGTTTGATATGTAATTAGTTTTACACATTTTACAACGATACAACACCATCACCGCCGAGGTTGAGAGTGTCTATCATGCTTATCCTGCGGTGATTTTGGCAGGCAAGCTGTGGACGTGTCGTTGCATGTGTGTGTGTGTATCGATTACACGGGCAACTTGATTAAGGCGGAAGGATGTGGGATCTACTGTAGAGATCACACTGAGATCAAAAGAAAAGTAAGGCCCACCAGATTCGTGGCTAGACGTTCCAAGCGGATGGTAAAGGAAACAGTTTTGGACAAGCATGGACTGAAATGTCTCGTTCATTGATTGCTTTTTACTAGAATCCGCATATAATGAACACCGCCAAGAATGTACGCTACACACTATGGTTGCTATTCGACGAGAAAGGACCAAATAGTCGTGACAACGCTCATGCCGACTCATGCCTCATCACAGTCTTTGTATGGTGTTTGTAGTCTTTGTTGGAGAACCTTTTCCTACCAGCAGTACCCCCCACCTTCCTGAGAATCATCAGTCCGATGTTACCAATGTTAGTTTCTGGGTCCCTGGAAGTGGATGGGACCCTGTTTCAGGAAGACCCTGGAAATCCTCTACAGGCAGCGGGTGTTCACTCCACTTCCATGTGTAGTTCCGGATGAGGTGCTGGCCACCGGTGCCGCGGCATCCGTGGCCGCGCGCGAAACGACCCGAGACGACCCGAGACGCCCTGAGGCCTGGGGCTCGGTTCCTCCAATCTGGCGGGGCTGGTGGCCTTGAATGCGACGGTGCCACCGAGGAAGCGCGCAATGTTGGTTGGATTTGCCACCTGTTCCCTGGCAACAGCAAAGAAAGCTAAAGTCACCTCCCAAGACCTAAAAACTGGCATCGAAATGGAAAAGCAAGCCACCTTCCAGACCCCTTGAAAAGGCAGCGGCAGTTTCCATGTTTGTTTCAAGCAAAAGGTTTGCATGTTCATTGGATTTGCTCTCCATTAAGGATCATTAGTAAAACACACGTAAACACATTGTACAGATGTTTTTTGTTCATCACGCGTACCCAATAAACTACCTGCAGTATCCTCCAGTTCACATGTGAGTGAGTGACTGAGGTGGCACAAGTGTGGGCACCATCCTGCTGCCACAGTTCTACACATTACTTTCAGGACAACATGCGTTTAATGAGCGCGATAGGTGTCACTTCTCTCACTTATCATATCGCTCTTCGTGTGGATGAAACATTCAAGTTCGTTTGGAAGAAGCGTGTTCTCATTGCATGTGGGATTGACCCAGCCAAGTCCGAGTAATGCCAACCTCATACTTAGACGGCAAAACAGCATGACCCACTGCAGCGTCATACAAAAACACGGTTTCAAAGACCAACCCTGGAGAATCTCTTGGTTGGCGATGGGCAATGCGTATCAACGCCATTACCTCCTTTCTTTTCTTGCTGATGGCTGCGCCGTTTTTCTTCGTTGCAAAGGCGCTGAGGGATTGTATTTGATCCTACAGACGTATACAGAGAGGGGTCGCAGTATTGGCTCTCAAAAGAATTGTATAGAGACTCACAGCCTGTCAGAGCCACGACAGTCAAACACCTCCATATCGGGGTGCATTTAATTATCAACAGTCACCATTACTGTAAATCAGGCAGCTAACAAGGCGCATGTTGGTTTTGTCCAGCTAACACCTTTTTGGCAATGGCCACAGTCTCATGCAGGTGCAGGTGAATGATTGTTGGTTTCCGCAGAGCATGTCCGTCACATCAAATCCAGGTAGCTTGCGCTGTTGGTTTGTTCTTCCACTGCTGTGTGAGGACCTTGTTCCGCACACTCTGTCACTCTCATCACATCTATGTACTGATAGAATCTGCTAAAAACAACCGAAAGAACGTTGGGATACCAAAGTTGAGTTACAGCCTTTCAAAGAAGGATAACTCACCAGCAGCTGGTGACTTTCCTGTCAAAATCTACCAGATCAAACTGTAATACTCTATTCTGTCAGCAACCTTTGTGTGACTTTGTGACAGGCAGCAACACCTGCACGGACACAGGAGGGGAGAGCCATCAGAAGCCATTCAGAGTCTGAATGCATTGTCCACTTGTCCGAATGCTTTGAAGTAGACCAATCTAGTTCCGGACTATCGATACCAGTTGGAAAATAGAGTACTGAGTACTGTAGTATCAGGGCATATGGTTCCTCTACAGCCTTCAGAACCTCATGATCCGAGTACAACCCAGTACACTGCACATGATCTTAGTCTGTCGTTGTACTCGCGGTGCAAGATGCAACCGACCCACCAGGACGTGGCCGTCCCTCAGAAGTGCTGTAGCCCTCTGCGGGACTTGCGATTCGTTTGCTGGTGGATCGACATGTTTGTGTGCTCCTTGCCGGTTGTAGCAATCCCTTTTGTTTGTCTATGGCCGGTTGTAGCATCTCTGAGTCTGCAGCATTTGGCAGTCTCGGGACATGAGGCTTCTTCGGTTACTTTGCACCACCGACATTGCTGGCAGACTTCGTTCAAACTGAGCTGCAACTGTCTGCACGGGAGGCGGCCATGGCCTACACGTTGATTGGTGCCTTGCCCAACTGACGCATGTTCATGCCTCTGTTCATGCGTGTGTGATGTTCATGCCTTTGGTTTCTACAACTAGTAACGATTGCAACATACAAAACCCGGAGCCCGGAGGTCGGTCGTCCAGGGTGTCCCGGTGCCATGACCCAAGGCGTCAGCGCTCTCGCAACGAGACTTTGCCTGGGATTTGTCACTCATTTGTGTGGAGGCCCCAGCAACTTGACACGCAAACCATGCCTCAGCACCAAAACTGGTTTTGACACAACATTGAGTGACTACTTTTGACTTTGCCGTTTTGCAGTTCCTCTCACTATGATTCTAAGACACCTTGACTTGAATTGTTTGATGTTGTAAAATACCAAATGAATAGCAAAAACATGCAAAAACAACAACCTGAAGGCCACACACGGTTGCCACACATCCGTTCAGTGGAGTTCTGTCTCTGGAAGATCTGCGCGTTTTGCAGCATTTTGCACGCTCAGGACGTGTTCATTTTGCTTCACAAGTTCTGGTCGGTGCTATTGCCTGTTGTTTGCCGTTATGTTGGCAGCTTGCCAAGTAGCAGCTGATGTTCGAGGGTTTACCTTGGTAAATGAAAGATCTTGAAAGTTTAGATGATAGGCACGGTACGAGTCGTGTCACTAGAGTTCATATATATCTTAGAGTCGTGTCACTAGAATGTTACTGTAGCAGACAGTATTCACCACTCTAGGTCACAAAAGGAATGCTCTCAGTCAACATGTTTCGCCGCACAAGGGGCGTAATGTTCGAAGAACTCTTACGTGCACACAATTTCACAAAGTTCCAGTACATGTTTCCTCACTTCAGGAATGCAGAGTCCTTGCTTGCTTGGAGCGTTCTCTATGGACCCTTGGCTACCGATGAATTCTGCAGGAATCGATATATGGAAATGCAAAGAACATAAAGGAACAATAAGCTACTAGTAGAAAAGGGCATCGCTACTAGGAGCAAGGACGCTACTAGTAGCTCCTGGCCGTACTACTAGGAACAAGAAGCTACTAGTAGCAAAGTGCATTACTACTAGGAGCAAGAAGCTACATGAAGCTACTATGTTGTGTTTAATGCGAAACGAAATGCACAGCTGAATCTCGTTGGAACGAGAGACCGCGCAGAAACGGTCTACCCGGTTCGGTGCGGCTGTGCCTGCGCTTCGCGGTGCCGCAGTGCAATCTTTTGCACCAGAAATGTGCGTCGATCGACATTCGATCATTTGATCAGTTGAGGTTTCAGCATCGGCCCAGTGATTGCCCTCGTAAGCGTTGTGCTGAGCGAACTGTTTGGCACGCAGGACAGGCCTCCAGATCCGCTGCCGGTGTGCTTGGTGCGCTTGGTCCAGCCTTTTTTTAGGGATGTCCATTGCCTTGAATAACGAGTCCTGCATAAACAAGAAGCTACATCAGTTGTGCATTACATACCAGTCAAGGTTCAATCGAAACATGCAGATAGAATTCCTTAATGTTAAAGAACCAAAAGTCCGGTAGCTATTCGCAAAAAATACACGTGTATGCAAGCCGAAGGTAGGGCATGGCATAGCTGAGCATACTGTAGCTGATGAGGTGGCCTCGAGTTCTTTGTTGAGCCCTTTCAAATCGTTTGGTTCGATGGACCCTCAAGGCAAAGTGGTGGTTTACTTTTTCACTGCGTGCAGTGTTCTCCATACTGCGAGGAGTTGGCTCGCTACCATGGTATCTCACGTGTGGGTGTGGGAGCCGGCAACTTGCTTGGGGTGCCGGTCACAGGCCGGAGCAGCGTTTGGATATTTCTTGCTGCACTTGCAGCGTGCCAACAGCACAGTTTCCATTGAGCCTTTGACATGATGTTTGTTTGCATTCGCGTGCGGAAAAACCTCTCGGTAACTTGTGCCTCTTCATGGACAGGAGCCTTGGTCCACATGTAGCTTGACCTTCCAGGTATGTCAACCAAGGTGGTTTTGCAGACAAATCAATCACATGAACTTGCTTGCTATGGGGACGAGGCTGGCTCGCTGAGACTCAGGGCTACGCCCTTGCACTAGTCTCTGGAGGTGGGGTGGAGACAAGCAGACCAGTCTCCATCGGAATGTTGGACTGTTGAAATGCAGACAAACATTTCAACCACATGACCTTGTGTCCGTAGGTGTGCGAAATTTCCTCAAGACTCTTGCGAAATGACTGGGTATCCGTCCGCAGTCCTTGTGCTATGCAAGATTTGTGTCCGCAACACGCTGACATGTTGGACTCTTTCGCAACCAGGCTGCCTGGTGAGCTTTAGCAGCATTTTCCTGATCGCTCTAGAGGTTCTCCACAGGAAGCGCAAGCAGAAAGCTCAAGCTGGGGCTCAGGCGGTGCCCAGAAAACCAAACTTGTTGTCAGGTAACTTTGCAGTTGGTGTTGAAGTCAATGCATTGCGAGTAGGTTCATCAACAACAAGGCTTGGACTTAGACTTCTCGTTCTGCAAATACACCAGCAGTAGGCTGTGTAGTTCAGGAATGTCATGCTGGAATGCAGCAGGTGCATGTTCAGTTAAGTTGACCTTATATTAATTGATATGGTATATTATCAACTTCATTGACCACTCCTTTCAGATCAGCAGTAGAGCTCAAGTGTTCTTTCAATCAGTTGTATTGGTATTTACCCGATATCAGTAGGTAAGGGATCTCAAACAGTTTAACTAGGCTGTTGTTTGTGTGACCGTCCATTTTCAGAGATACCGTTTGACGTTGTGTTGCTTGCTGTCAGGTCAACGAAGCAAGCTGCTGACTGTCAAGTCGATGAATTACATTGAATTCAAGACCAACAGCACTTTGAAGTCTTGCGCTGTTCGGTGGTGTTTTTTTGGTTGCTTTTGAGAAGCAAGACCAAACATCTCGCTGCATTTTTTCTCGCAGCGCAGCTGTGGAAGATGATTGCAAGAAACATCCCTGATGCTAGTAGAACTGCCACGCCAAGTCAAAGTGGTTTGGCCGGCATTCTTGGGCATGATGATCGACGGAGCTCGCGAAAATGAAGTTCCCGGATGAATCGTGTGAAACTATTTGAATGGATGCAGTCAGTTTGTATTTCAGAATTTTCAGACTTCATCCATCGGGTTGTGAAAGGCTTCGATTGATGAGCTGAGAGCAGAGGTGCGGGTGACGGAATAAGTGCGGAAGATGGGGAATTGAGGAGCTTATGCTGAGCATAAGTCAGCATTGACCGATTTGGCAGAGTAGATGATTCCATACAGGTTCCCAAGATCCAGGTCACAGGCTGGGTGAGTTCGCATCCAGGTGCAGAGAAGGCTATACCGAAGCCTGGTGGTTTACCATGAAGGCGGTTTATGTCAGTGGCTAGTAGGCTATAATGCTTTTTCATGCTTTTTCGGGACTCGGAAGACACCTGAGGACTGGAGGAGAGGGAAGCCACTCCGTAGGATACGAAGAAGGTCTCAAAGCCTCGCTGCCTTCGATCAGTAGGCCTTGAAATCAGTAGGTTTGGTTTGGTCTGTCACAATGAGCCTTTCCAGTGGCCCTCCTGCCATGATGCGTTCGAGGTTGACCGGTTGACCAGTTCAAAGCTGAAAGCCTTTTGCCACGAGCACGTACAGTACTTGTAGTATTTGTGCCTTTGTGCACTGATTGATCTTGGGAGCGCAGTCCACCCAGCTCGGCGGCTTAAGCCGCACCGCACCGCTCCAGGCCCGGCGCTTGCGCTTGGACTTGGAGCGCGAGCGCTGTGAGGCCGAGCTGCACCGCTGCGAGGCGGGTCGGGTCGTGGGTGGACGACGTGGGACGGCATCGATCGATGTGGGTGGACGAGGCGTGGACGACCACGTGGTTGGCCCTCACGTGGCTTAAGGTTGTTTGGTTTAGTTCGTGCTGGAACACCTATTCCGCGGGCACTCACTCCCTGATTTGAGACCTGCATGGACCAGATTTGGCAGCACTAGTTGTTCTGGCGGGGATTTCCGAGTGGAGCTCGTTTGCTGGGCTGGTCCATTTAACAAGGATTGGTCCAATGCTCGCTGACCTTGAGACAAACCACTGATATCCTTCAATGTAATGCTCCAAAGCTGCTGTCCCTTCTTTTTCACACCTGAGTTGTCCATGGCGGGATGTTCGCTATGCATAAGTGTTTGCCAAGAATCATATGCGGCACATATGTTGTCAGAAAGATTCTGGTAGCTCACGTGTCTTCTGGGGCTTTGGTGCGATTCTTTGGCAGCTCTGGTACGCGGAACTCCATCCACGAAGCCCTCACGTGAGGCGGAGAAGCGCTTGGAAGACAAGGAGCGGTTGTTGCACAGCAGCTACTTGGAGTGATTGGTTTCGAAGATCTGCCGTCAGCAAGGTCGGACCAGGTCGGCACATAGTTTGCGCACGAAGAATTCCTACAAATAGCTTCTTTGTTACTACTAGTAAGGCACCTGTTACTACTAGCGTGGCACTTGTTACTAGTAGTAACTAAGAAGCTCCATTTGTGGATCTAATCATTTGATCGCACGCATGATTCCTGCACCAAGTAGGCCAGAAGCGTCTTCGCGGGACATGTGCTGAATGTCTTCGCGGAACCCAGCTCCAAAACAGGAACCTTCGACCAAACAGATAGGTGTCTGGTGTCCAAGAGCATCATGAGCTTTTGAGGAAAGATTATGTTCCAACCGTCTCTATCTATATTGGGGATCTCTCTACAGGGCATTGTTCAGATGTTGTCGCGACAAAAAGTCATCCAGGAGAATGCCTTGAGCCAAATGCGTTTGAAGACCGGCGAGCTGGAACAGGAGGGTAGAGACTCAAGAGTCCAAGAGATTAGTTGAAAGCATGGGAAAACGTGAATGTTGCACTTCCCTAAAGGAAAGCTGATGCATGCTCGTGGGCCATTGTTTTATGCCTTGATGGGAACCTTGCTGTATTTTTGTTTTCAAACGCAAGACCATGCCACTCAGCAAAAGAACGATCGACCATTTGCAGCACACCAGCACTTCATGTATTTCGGCTCAAGTGCCCAAACCTGCGGCCACCGCAGCCACCTGTCACGGATAACCATGGCGCGCGCCGTTCGGGGCCTTCTGTTATTTGGTGGGTTGTATCTTTGGCTGAGGAGATCACATTCAGCCGGGTCTGCCGTATTTGATCACTTCCTGACTGGTTTGTCACATGTCAACCGGTGAACCAGTTTCCACGAGTTAGAGGAGCTTTGGTTCTGCCTTCACAGCCCCAGCCAGAAGAGGACGGAATGGTCCGTTCCTTGTGTGCTTGACGGAGTTCTTGCAGCACTGCATGCTGGAATCTAGAAAGCTCAAGGGGTTATATAGATGTGGCTTTTTGGGGTTAATTTGGTTGCACTCTCATAACCCCTGGCCGGCCTGGCCCTACTCTTGGCAGAGGGAGTGCCAGTAGAAGTGCCATCACTGGTCCGGCAAAGCCACATCTCATTCACTGGTAGCACAGCGATGGAAAACGGTGCAATCGAAGTCGATCCTCACCGGTCCTTTCGGTGGGCAGGATCTCCACGGTCACGGTGGACAGTCCTTCATGCTGAGGGAGATGAAGGTGCTCATTGTCTGCATGTTGCGGAGGTATTCTGTCTTTGCGTTTTTTTGCTTTTACGTTATTGTGTGCCCAACGATTGTTTCACTAGGTGCCATGCTGGTGGAACACTTGCTGAAACCGGACGTGTTCCTTCTGGATGTGCGAACTTTGGATGAGTCACCCAGAGGCAAGGGAAGAAGGGGCCTTGGTAAAAGGCAGCCAATGGCTAAGTATATCTGAAATTACCCCAGCTTTGCAACCCAACAGCATGTGTGCACAAAATTGGCCCTTTCAGATGTTTCTGGATATGGTTGGCACTGTCCACTAAAGGAGCAGATGCACACAAGGAGCATCCATTCACAGACTGCGACCCCGCACATTGCACTGAAACGCAGCTGCACTCTGATGTTGGGAACTAAGTCCAAGGAAACATGTACCGAGGAACATGAAGATAGAAACTCCTTGGATAGATTCCAATGCTACGCTGGTCCTAGCAAGCCCATGAGACCAACTTGGCCCCACAATGTTTCAGATTTATGTTATACGCAGCGCATTCGATCCTGCATTCGCTGGTTCCAATATCACTCAAAAGACAGTAGAAAGCAGTAGGACGTACAGACGATGTTTTCGTTTAATTGTGTCTTGTTTGAATGCTTCCAAACTATATCAAACATATATCAAACATTTATCATCCAAGAAAGATGAGGTATGCTGACGGTCACATTGATGGGAGCGCCAACATTCCGCACACTCAGAATTCGGGCAGCATTGAATGGTGCTTGTGTGTGTGTCCATCGACTGTGACATCGTTTTTGTACGTGTTTGTATGTGTTGGTGCATGTCATCATGTATGTATGTGTTGGAACTTTAGGTTTCAACATGTTTCTCGCACTGAGCTAGCATTTACGGGAGGTGGATTCTGTAGTCAACATGTTTGTCCCTTAAGGATTGAGGCTAGGGCGAAGGAGCTTCCCGCAGATACATCGACGCCCGTGGTCGTCTACTGCGCAAAGGGTGCCTTTCAGCCAGATGAACATGTTCTATTTCCGTGGCTGTGACAGGTGTTATTGACCAGAAGAACCTACTCAGCATACACTGTTGGAGGGGTCCAATAAAACATCATGTTTGATCATGCGTGAAATTTTGGTTCAAGACAGGATTATTTTGAGACGTTTGCCTTTGACAACTGTCAAACTTAGACTTAGAACTACAGCACCTGTGAGAGAAAACTTTGGCCATATGTGTTGAGTTTGAGGTGCAGGAAAAATAGTGACGAAGTTGGTTCCACTGTTCCATCATAGAGTTATCTATCACTTTCAATATCGTTCAACCAAATGTTGGACCAGCATGATTTATATAATGGCTTTTCATGGCCCGAACAGTCATGCAGTTGGTTCTCTTGACAGGCATTCGTGCGCAGATGGCCAAGCGAGACCTTGAAACATTGGGCTATACAAATGTGGTGAATGGTATGACCTGGCTGCAAGTTCAAGAGACGATGCAGCAGCTGTGAGGCACGGATTGTTTTGGATGGTTTTGGAGTCTCGGCGGAGTCGAAACGAAGCTTCTCAGTCCTACACTGCTGCAACGGAATTCTGTGGGTGGACCAGTGGAAGCCCACTATATTGGTGTGTTTTAAGAGGAATCGTACTGTAGGCTGGGAAAACGGTTTTGAGCTTAATTGCAGCTTTAAGCAAATCACGAGGCCTTGGGTTATCACAATGGGTCCCAATGCATCCACCTGAATCCAGGGCCCGGCCCTGGATTCAGGTGGATGCATTGCCAGTTGTGTTGCACTCCTCTCCAGTGTAAGAGAGATACCAAGAAAAGGTGTGTCTCGTTCTACAAACGATGAAGTCGTTCGCAGGCCTGACCTGGCACTCCCTTGCTGCTCCCGTGAATCCCGCTGCAGCCGCAAGTGCGAGCGCCAGTCAGCCGCAAGCCAAAAGAGAGCACATGATATCACATGATGCTGCTTTCGTGAAATGATTTGTAGCTAAGGTGTTTGAGTGCTTGTGTGTGTAATTACAGAATTGCATAGGTTTATTATAGGTTTCGAGGGAGACAGCGAGAGGATCTCTATTTGCCATCAATCACTCCATGAATCCAGCAATGTTTGATGTGCAGTCTTTTTCATTTTCGCTTGGCACAGGAGCTAACGAGCACTGATTCCATCACTCGCTTGGCTGAGCAGCAGGTGAGCCACCCAGGAGCTGCAGAGGTCGGTCACCGGCCGGTCACCGGTTTCTGTCAACCCAATTCGCTGAGGCGCTGCGCGAGGTTGAGATGAAGAAGCACCAGCAAAAGGCGAGGTTAGCCTGGTGCTTCAGTGGATGGAAAGGAAAGCTGCTTTCGCGTGGCTCAGTCCTTTGATCATGTTCCAGACAGGTGCAACAAGCCAACCAGTCACTCCTGGAAGTGCAGAAGATGCTGGAAATGAGCTATGCTCAAGAGAAGGTGCCTCAAAGGTCCTCAAAGTGCACAGAAATATAAACCGTTCAGCTGTAAGAGACTCAGTTGTTTGAGAGCCATGCAAAGGAACGCAGCAGACTGTTTGTATTAATTGATTCAATGACATCAGGAATGAATTGTCACAAAGTGTTATTCTGCATTATTCTGCAGTGGAGTCTCATTTGAATGATTCGGTTATTGGATGCCAACGAGTTCTGGAAGAACGCCCCCGGTTCCTATCCTTGGTCGCACCGGTGAAAGGATCGTTGCCACCTGCCAGGTGTTGAAGGATCGCATCCGGGAGCTCGAATCCAGCCAAGGCAGAAGCCATATGTCAGGCACTGCCAGCTCCAACTGCGAGCTCCCACGAATCAGCAGCCTCATGCTGTAGCGCCGGATGCCGGCAGGTTGTGTCATACAAGAAGGATCTAACGGTGGTCGTCAGCACCAGAAGTATTAAAAAGCGACCCCTTTGATTCAAATTGTATTTCTAGGCGCGTGCAGTGATGCTTGAAGGTGACTATTTGAAACATGTCGTCTTGAAGTACATTGAGTACTGTCAGAAGGGCGACATGAAGTCTCAGTTTCGCCCTGAGTTGTAGAGAAAGAACCGGAGTGTGCTGGGGGAAACCACCTAAGCACCTAGCTGCCAGCTTGGTGTATCTCATTACGTTTCTTGTATTTGACCTGCAACTAAACAGGTGAGGGTCAGTTCAGTTGAGCTCGTGTTGTTTTTGTTCCTGTTGCAAGTATGTTGTTGTTGCATGTTGTTGCTGCTGCTTCAGCCAACGAAGCACTTCATGTGTTATGCATGGTCATGGAAATGGGAAGTTGTTTTTTATATAGTTATACTGTGGTTATGTATGTATTATATATTGTAATATATTGTAATATATCTATAAGAAACTATCTTTTATATATCAACAAAAATCCCTGAATCGTATGCGATGTTCTGTGATCTCACCTACCGTAAGTCTTCTGTGATCGACTGAGGTCTTTGGTGCCAGTACTTTGCACATTGCTAAACCTGAATGCCGCGGAGCGCAAGCTTGCCGCTCGACGGAGGTTTGCCGGACGGAAAGCGACGTGGAATGACGCACCGCAGTACCAGACGGGAACGTCATTCCGCCCCATCGATGGGGGCGGCTTCTTTTGCACCTCAGTACCAGCGCTTCGCAAGACCATAGTTAATGGCAACTGGCTCATGATGGTTGGTGATCCACAGATGGTTGATGGTTGATCTATGTTGATCTTTGTGTTATTGAAAATTATAGAAAGCAAACGTTTGACTCACTTTGGTGATACCTAGCAATTCTCGCACGTGGACCCACCTGGCCCCAAACAAGGTTGAGCACAGCTCTATCCCTGCGCCCTTGCAGCACCTCAATCAGGCAAGGGAAGCGACATGACAGGGACATACCAGGCCAATTTAAAAATGATATTGAAGAGGAACTGTGCTAGTCTAAGGGGCCTCAGGGCACAGGCCGTGGGTCTTGGAATCCGGAAAGGGATGCGCACATTAAGTGTAGTTGGCTCATAGTTGATGAGACGTGAGGCTGCTGGTGCTGCAGGTGCCTGGTTTCGGGGGACCTGAGCTTAGCAAAGGTTAGAAGATTAGTGTTTTTGTGTATGCAGCAATGCACTTTTACAACATCAGAGTATTTACAGCCTAACAAAGACTTCTCCAACTGGCCGAACTTGAGGTCGAATGGTGAAGATGAGTCCTCGCATTCATGATTCGTACAAGACACGCCCGTCGTGCCAAGATTGGTGCGCAGTGCTGAGAAAGTGTTTGCGCTACATCACATCCCCGGAGGTTTGGTGATGTCTTTGGTGGTATATGACATCCTTAAATCTTCAGAGAATTGCCAGAATCCTTGGCAGTAGAGCAATTCCCATTCCAAGACACGGCAGTTGCCAACTGCTGCTTTCCACCCCCGTTGGTTTGACTTTCGGTGCTTGGTAATTATAGCTGAGCACATCCTGAAAAGCTTCTTTGCATGTCATCATTTAGCATTTACTGTAATTATGTGTCATGCAAATGGTAAATACTTGTTTAACTCTAGACTGATGAATATTTTTTCTTTGGCCTCTTGATGATGTCACTTCAAACCTTGAGTTGCTGAATCCAATTGGAGCCTTGAACTCCTGCCCAATTCTCCCCCGCGCAGACCTCCTTCCATTTTCGTGCCGGCCGTGCATTTGAACAGTGGCGTGGGCCAGTTGGTTGCTCTGACCTTCAAGGGTGTGCGAAGCTTATTGAAGCAAATCTCACAATTCGACAAACGCCCAAAAAAGATGTCGCCCGAATATCGTCGCGCGCTGCGACAGTGGCAGATGTCGGCTATACACAAGGTCATGCTGGTGCTCATCCTCGAGGCGGATGCTCACGTCGATGCAAGGCGTGACAAAAGAAAATGGGTCGACGAGCAAGACATACTGATTAATTAGATCTGATTGGCAGAAATAAGATGGCAAGCTCACCTAACTTAAATACAAATAAATGCAATATACAGTACTATTTGTGCCTGAAAGCTTTTTGTAGGAAGAGAGTGCAAGAACCAAGAACCCAACAGTGCTGAGACGCCAGGCTGTTAGAATCACTGCGAGAGACATGTAATTCCTCCTCCGTCAGCTTCTGAGAAGGGCCAGCTTTGTTGATGGCTGGGTGGTGGTTTAGAACATGGCTGGGTATGGAACATGTGTGGAAATAGGGAGACCGGGAGACAAGCCAAGGGCCAAGGACCAGGGGAATCCATGGGAAGGTCTTCCGAGAGTTTAGCCCATGTTCGATGGGCATGTGTTTCATGCTTTTCGGCATACGATGGCCAAAGTTCAGGAGCAGTTGTTTGGGTTCAAGATGTGTAGCACGATGAACAACGATCACGCAGAAACCCTTTTTTCAGAGAGAGAGAGAGAGAGAGCGGGCAGGGGCACGGGCACGATATTTTGACATATGTTGTACGTTGCTCTTCTCCCAAAAAATCCTGCTGCACGGACAGCTATTAGAATGCATGTGCCAGGGCGACGGCCTTTCTCTTGCAGAGCTGCAACCTTTGATTGTGCCGCAGTACCAGCAGATCATGGAGCAAGAGGCACAGAGGGCACAACTGGTGTCATTGGTAGAGCCACTATTATCACCATCACCATCAGCCACAAACAACCTGATAATACGCAATTTGTGTTTCTCTGGCCAACCTCCAATCAATAAAGTACACAGTGGCCTTGGCTGACCATCAATCGTGGTTGCTGTCTCAGTATGGATGCGAGCTGTTTGGCTTTGACAGGATGAGTACCGCTTCGTGTACTACAATCACACCAACCATGCCCTGAGACTGTCTAACCAGGCAGGATGGGTGTGACAACATCACTCAGGGCAGCCAGGGCGCTAGAGCCAAGCTTTGCCAAAAGTCCAAGAGCAAAACCGAAAGGCCAATCCAACATCATGGATCGGAGATGTTGCCCATCACTCATATCAGCTCATTCATGGGGAGCATGCTTCAGCTCTGCCTGCAGTTTTGTGCCTTGCAGGCCAGCATGTCGAGGCCGGATGTCAGAAGCGACATATTTGCCATTCGGATGCCTTCCTTGCCATTCACACCTATTTCAAGGTTCACGGGGAACAGTGGCAGCGTGTCACCGCTGCCTGATCTTTCACTTGATGACCTATTCTGCCAGAATCCGAAAATGCTCCAAATCGATCCTAGTGGATGTCTACTCATTCCACTTCGAAATGATGCGTTCGGGGTAAACATGAAAACTCGCACCTTCCAGAGACTTCGGGCAGTTCGAGCAGAGGACGTCTGAGACGGTCTTCTTGAAGACTTCCTCGAGCGATGGACGTGGCACGCAGGTCTTTGCTGCGAAGCACCGGAGTGACCTCTCAGGGGCCCAAAGCTGTGGAAAAGCCCTTGCTCACACCGCTGCACGCCACCCTGTCGGTCGCGCTCGGCCTGATTTCTGAAGAGTGTAGTGTTTCTTGCAGGATCGACGGTTCGAATGGTTTCTGTGTTTGTGTGTGTGTCTTTCTTAAAGGTTTTTTTTGGCTGCTTGGAGGTGTTGTTCTTGCATGGATCGTTCCGTGGTTCCATCTGGTTATTATGCATGTTGGGTGTGGGATGTGATATGTGATCATTAGATATCATTGGAGATCATCAGCATGTTTGGAACTGTGTTGATCGGTTTTGCTCTGGAGTTCATGCTACTATTCATGCCATGGCTTTGACTCGCCAGGATCCCAAGCTCAAGTGTCGAGAGGCTCGATGCCGCACGATGCTGTGCGTGCAGGAAAAGTCCATTGATGTTCCCCAGAAACACTCGGAGGTTGAGACGATTTGGATTCACACTCCAAAGGAGGTTGAAAACATAAATTCATATTTATATATATGCAATCATATGGTAAAACTATATTGATTCATCATGGATTCACGGTTTTTCCTCCGTTTCAAGGAAGGCATCCGAGAAAAAACTCTGTCCTGGAAGTCCTTGCACGTGCTCAAATTCCAAACCACTGACTACAATCCAGATGATTCGGATGAGGTGCCTCATTGGCACTCTACAGACTGTAACATAGCAAAACTCTGCAGACCATTGCAGACCTACAGTAGCTTCAGTTCAACATTGGGCTGATGGAAGTGTTCACCGGTTCTTCACCCACCGATTTCGTGTTGCAGGTGTCTTGGAAGTCTGCAGACAGGGGGTGGATTTGTGCCAAGAGGCCGGGGCCAGAAATCCGTCGGAGGGCACCTCACACCATGCCGCGGTCCGGATCCGGACTAGATCCGGCGGAAGACGGTCCAGGTGGTGCGACCGAGAGTTCTACCTCCTCTTGGATGGGACAAGTACGTCTTTGTCACGTTGTCAGGAGGAGTGTGCAAGGCAAGACATGTGGCGGCAAATGTGCGCTTCGTGCGAAGGAACTGGGGCGTTCAGTTTTGCCAGTTCCAGACATGGTTAGATGGTTGATACAGAAAACTTCAGAAAACAAGATGACCATCTGCTCAATCTACGTGCAATGGCCACGGTTCAATGACTGAACTTTACACAGCGTCTTCGACACACTCGCTATAAAAGCAAATATCCTGTCCATCCATCACGGGTGTTCCATGGATAGCACTGGGTCACCCCCACACAGGCGTCCAACGCTGTGCCACAGAGGGAGGTGGGTCGACCTGACAGGTTTGCATCCATCCACTTCAGCAGCATCTTCATGATGTGAAGGGCACCGGCGCCGGAAAAGGGCAGGGCAACATGTTGGCGCGTTGCTTTGGAGAACTGCAGCTTGGCCAACAGATGCAACGATGTTTGATGCGGTGATCGAGAATGAGTCAAGACATGTCAGGACCTGTCAAGAGGGTCGTGTGTGTTCGACAGCGTAGGAAGAAAGAATCAGAAGCCTACGACAGCCCCTTAAATACCCAGTATCCCAGTGCACCACAAGGAACGGCTAAAGAGTAGAACCCCGCAACGGTGTTGTGGTGTTTGTGCAAGCACAGAGTTGAGAAAAAAACAAGACTTGACTCGACAGCATGCCAACAGTGTGACAGCACGGGACACAGAGCTCACAGAAATTTCTCCTGAAACCTTCAGCGTTCTCGGTCAGAACTGCTCACAAACTCACAAAACGGCAGTCCAAAAGGAAAAACAAAAGTAGAATCAGAGGAAGAAACATGAACATGGAAAACATCAGAAACCCATCAGAAAACCATCAGAAAGCCTATATGGTTGAGACAATTGGGGAAAAAATCAAGGAAAAGAGCCTCACGACGCATCGTGCCATGGATGAAAATTTGGGGCGTCGCCGCATCCCGTCGCTCCGAGCGGCAGAGGCCGGAGGCTGACGGCTCCGACGGGGGGAGCTCCGGGGAGCCTCCGGGGAGCTCAGGGTGCCGACATCGAAGCGACGTCAAAGGGATCTGGAGATGATTGGGTATATTGGGTGATGTGATAGGATGTGATAGGTGATGTTGGGTCGCATTTAGATGGCAGTCCTGGGCCCTGAGGAATGATGGAAGGATGAAATGGGTCGAGCGTGAATCTTGCAGGTATTGGAGGGCGATGATCACGCAGGCGTTTCTCAGATGTCAAACATTGATCTATTAATCATGATCTATCTATATATATATAACTATAAACTGCGATAGATGTAATAGAGGTCGTACTGAAAGGCATCCTTGCACAGGCAGGATGAGCAAAGGAGATCAAAGGAGGGCGTTACAGCTCAATCAATGGTATTCGTTGCAACACTCACGCGACGAATCTCACAAAAATTTTGAAACGAAAACCGTTTTGATCCGTTTTGCATAATATATAAATGGATGCATACTGAGTCTTTGGAACGTTTTCAAACACCTGGAAACGGCAGGGCGTGCCTTGGACATCAACCAGACATAACCAGACGGGGCTTCCATATGTATGTCATTGTATGTACACAGAATTGGCTTCAATGGCAGGGGGCATTGTATGTTGCCAAGCTGTTAGAGCTTTTTCACCGGAGCCAGAGCCATGGCTACCCAGCCTCGACGAGGAACACTGCTCCTGGCCATTTGGATGACAAGAGGATTGAGAGTTGTCGACATTCCAGCATACAGCGCGACATCAATACCACAAAGATAGAACGGTATTCCGTGTTCTTCCGCTGCGGCTGCATTCCTCTCAAGGCATTGTTTGTGATCGGCGGCTGCTTTGTCCGACCCCGGACATGTACCAGCCGCCCAAGTCCTAGCCTGCGTAGGGCGCAGAGTGAGGCGCAGAACGAGATACAACATATTATGCCACATTTGCTTTGTATACATGAATGTACCATGCCCTTGGGGTTGTAATATGTTGTAATATCATATAATATCATCAAGAATGGCAAACGGACATACAACATCATGTTGCATCATGTTGCTCCTGCTTGACTTGTTAGAAGATTCACGGTTTGTTGGGTTTCAGACTATCAATGGGTGATTTTGTGTTGTGAAGCGTTGTGTTTGAGGAAATGCAAGAGTTGACAAGCCACGCGTTGACCACCGCGTGCCAACACCGCTGCGATTGGTCAGGAGGATGACCTGCTTGCCAAGGCAGGGCCACGCGGCCTCGTGTCCTCCACGTCAAAGCGTCAGAACCCACGCCAATCACTAGAAAATAGTACCAAGAGATACCAAGAGCATGGTTTTGTGTCATCCTTTGTCATGTTGACAAGCAAACTGAATCAACCTGATATGATGATATGTGTTGCAATCCAACCAAATAAACCACCAGAATTGAATGCAAAAAGGCTATGAAGAGAACCAAAACGCCGAATACACTATGACCACACACGTTGTGGCTTTACGGCGTCGTTGTGGGCGTCCCAGGCACTTGCAGGTGGCCCTCCCTTGCGCGTCAGCGAAAAGGGCTTGGAGGTCGAGTTTGGTAAAGGTGCAGAAGGCGACGTCGTTGGAAGAGGGGGTGGAAGACGGCATGGAGCGGATGTTTAGACACGGGAAGGTGCAGCGATTTTGCAGCAGACGTTCCAAGATGTTCGAAACTCCGTTGACCTTTCTTTACATATCTGAAATTAGAACAGTGTTTGGCTGCGCAATGGAGTCGGATCGTAGTAGACTAGCATCACTGTGTGCTTTCATGTGTGTTTCGTTACTGCAAGCGTTTTTCTTAGCATCAATCCAGGCTCAAGCGTGCAGTGGGGTGTGCTGAAGGCGGGATCGATAGATAGTGCAAGATCGCAAGTTCAAGGGGATTTGATTGTTTGACTGTTTGACTTTTCTATTAAGTTTTTAAATTTGATTGATTGGTTGATTCAGAAACTGGCTGGCTGGCTTGGTGAGTGAGTGGGGTGTGCGGTGTGAGGGAGTTGAGTGAATCAGGTGCGTGAATCAGGTGAACCAGTGAATTGATGAAGTTAGTTGTGGTGGGTGAGGAGGAGGAGGAGAGGGGGAGAAGGCGCGGAAATGGAGAAGGAGAATGAGAAGGAGGATGACAGCGAGAGAGTAGTGTTGGGAACTAGTTTCTTACAGCCTTCACAAAAGATTATTTTGCTCAGGACTCAAGACGTCAAGAACGCAGCATCTCCAAACAGTGTTGGGAACCACTGCCTTAGAGGGAATTTTGGACCACAGTCATGCAGGCAAAGCGCCATCAACAGATGATCCAGCATCCCAACAATCCAGTTCAAAAATGCTTGTCTCACCCACCCACTGCTTTTGGTGGTCATCCATTTTCATGCTGCTCTTTTTATGTTGTTTCACGGCTTGTGATCGGACGTCCGTTGGACGCCCTACCGAGGTGGCGACTCTAGAGGTGGACCAATCACCTGAGGCCCAAGCCAGGCGCGCAGCATTACGCGAGAAGGCAGCTCGAGACTTGGTGCCTGGTCGGATTCAAGTGGGCAGAAAAAGATTGTCTAGTATATGGACCCACCATTTTGTTTGTAGATGACCAGAAGATGGTCCAGTATATCAGTATATCCTGTATATGGTCCAGTATATCCTGTGGATCACAAGAACAGAGAGAAGATGGGACAGACGATGTCGGAGACAGGAGAGGTTGGTCATGTTTTGCCCACGTGCGTACTTCAGGACCCTGCGCGGTTCCGAACGGAGTTCCATGACAAACCGTTGGAGATTTCCAAGACTTGGAGGGGTTTGGAACGAATACAGAGCCAATGAGCGAAGATGAAAGCGGACAGTAGCTCAATGAGGTGAACATTGACGACGAGGAGCGCGAGAGACGCAGAGCCTCTTGACCAAGTGGCCGAATAATTACAGGTTGTACTTGCTGCGCTGTGCAGCGCCTAGAGGCTTGTTGTTCACACTGTCAAAGTTGAAGGAAAGACCCATGCAGCAACTGCTATTTGTTCATTGAGAGGCCATCGCTATTGGGATGGAGGCCATCGCTAGTAGGTTGGAGGCCATTGCTATTGGATGCTATTGGGTTGGAGGCCGCTGCTTTTAAGGTTGCCAGCTATTTCGTGGCGGGAGGTGCCATACTCTTGGCAGCGTCACTTGGCGGATCCGTTTTTTTTTGGTGAAAACCTCTTCTAGCTAGCAGTGGCCGCCTGCTTCATACAGGTGGTTCTTGTTGACACCTACAAAAGAGGGTTTACTATTTGCGAGAACTTGATCTCTTTCTGGGGATCTCTACGACCAATTGGCCCCCTGTCCTGTCAGATTTATCACTTCCTGCCGCTGTCATGTGGCCAGTTGGTTGCCGCCTCTCTCAGACTCTCAGGTTTCTTCTGTGGAGCAATGCCCCCTGGTACAGCCGCGGTGCGATCTTTCCAGTGGTTGCTCTTGCGTGGGGTTACATGGCCAACGACCAGATTGTTTCCTTTTCAGATGTGCAGTGCTGCGGACCTAAACAACAACCGGTTCGGAGGTTCTTCGTGTTTACGGAAAAGGGGACGTTGCAAGGTTTTGCTCAGGTTGCACATGTTCAACATGTCCGCGGTCCGAGGATTCAACCTCTCGGCCAAAGAAGGACTCTGAAACATTGGGCAAGCTGGACTCTGGGATGTTGATGGAACTGGAATGCAGAAGATTGAAGACCAAGATTTGGCTGCGTCACTTGGATTTCTTGTTGGGCGACATGGAGAAATCCAGAAGGAAGTCAGGGAACGGACGACACAACCAGGGAACTGAAGTTCTTCATCAGTTGTGGTTACTTCGCAGCGCGAAGCTGCGTCATGTCTTGTGTAGGTCCTCAAGTTGCGGCACCAAGTTTGCTGTCTTTGGCGCGAAGTTCGCCTCCACCTAGCAAAAGCGCTAATTGGGGTTGAGTCGGTTGAGGCCAAGATGCCTCTCAGGCTGTGCACGTGTGCTGGCTCGGTCGTATTCATGATTGGGGTATATTATATATATATGGTACCCCTCCCATATATATATATATATACTGTCGTTGGCCCGCAAAGCTGCCCAATCGTGTTCTTGAGAGAGAAGAAACAAATCAGTCTTGTCGAGTCACAGATTCTGTGAAGCTGAACAGATTCTATAGTACAGTTGGTAAGATGTTTACAGTGGGTTCAGAGTAGATGGCACAATCCCCACAAGGTGCGGCTGTTTGGACCCCTATCGAAAGGACATCTTGGGGTGGTGCCATCTACTCTGTAAAAAGATGTTTAAGTAACTCTGTGAAGACCAAAAAGCGCAGCGTCAAACAGATGCATCTTAAAACCTGGAAACTGCACCACAGCAGCCAGAGCCGTGTGGCCAAGTCTTTGACTAGCAAAGCTCAAGTAAATGCACACACCAACACTGAAGTAAAAGAAGCTCCTTGACTCATAGTTATGTATCAATCTCTTGAACATTGTAGAAAGGCTTCTTGCTTTCATTGAGAAATGTCCGAACGTTCGTGACATGTTGATGAGCTAATGCACTTTTGAAAGTGCAACAAAAGTTCATCAAGAAAGTGTCTCCTGTCTAGGGCTATCTGCCAACCCATATGGTTTTAGGGTATCATGATACCTTCAAGATTTTAGAGGCATATTCGATCTTTTCATGATTGCGCAATGCAATGGCAGTGACAGAGGTTGTTCATTCCCTGCGAAAACTGAAGATAACATAAAGACTATTGTGAGAGATGCAAGGTCTGGGTCTTTCATTCTTTGGTGTTTGAGTTTGAGGGCTTTGGCACCTGGGTTCTCTCTCTGTGACAGAGCACGGCTGCTCGAACCTAGGAAACTCCGGGCGAAAGTCAATGATTTCAACAAATCCTCATTGGTATTGCCTGGGAGCGTCACTTTGGCATTCGTGGGCTTGCCAGAAATTGCACACCAGCTGCTAGGTTAGTGTGTTAGGCTGGCTCAAAACAACAAAGTGGGAATTGTGAGCTAAACAAGGCCCAAGCTGCCTTGATGAAAGCAAGAGATGGTTTAAACTGTGCGAATCCATCTGGATTGTGCTAAGATTTGCCGAATTCATATAGATTCTAGATTGTACATCCGTTGGGTTTGTGAAAGAGGGAAATAGTTTGGCGATGTGTTGCAAGATGTTGCAAGTTTCTGTGCTGGTTGCTATCGTGAGAGCAGTCTTGGTGATGCTGCCCATGTTTGCACATGCAAAAGTCTTCCTGAGATGGTCATAAAAGTGAGTCTAGAATCTAGAATGGGTCAATAGGAAGCCGGGGTGCAAAAACCACATGTGATTTGGATATATAGACTTTGCAAGTGCAGCCAAAGCAGTCTGAGAAGATGTTACTCTCAAAGTAGTCCCAGCACAGAGTTCAAGGAGTTTTCCTGCCTCATGAGATGGGTTCGCTGAAGCAACCATTTTCCAACTATAACTATCCTTTGTTGCCCATTGTTCAGGACAGGGCTGCCCTGGGGTTTTGCCCAAGCTTTACTTTTTCGGCCGCGATGTTCAAAGATCGGCACCTCCCTGGGACACCGGGGTGGTGCCTTTTCTCAAACGTCATCCAAGTGAGTGAAACTTTTCAACTGAGAGCAGACGCGGCCCACATTTTGGGTTAGCATGGCCATAGTGGCTATGCTCGCCACATTAAATGGAAAGACCTCAAGTTGCACAAATTCTGAATGAGCTATGCACAGACGGCCAGATCAATGAACCGGATTTGCCAGACAAGGTTTGGCACAAAAGGAGGGGCGGGTCCTTCGCGAGAAGGGTTTTCGGGGGTGCGTGGGATCGGACGGACTCAGAGGCTCGGCAGCGAAGAACAAGACAGCCTTGACTAAAAGCCAGTAGCTTCTTAGGCTTGGACACAGAGGGGATTAGGCTCAATGGTTTAGTTCCTTGGGCTCAATGGTTTAGTTCCTGGTCGCCACTTGTAAGGTTCGCAGGTGAGGAGTAGTGTCGGCTTCATTACTCGATTTTGCGGACAGCCGGGCCATGCCCAGCCTCATGATGCTTTTCTTGAGCTCTTGTATCATGTCCTATTCAAGATGTTACTACGTTGGCTTTGTCTTGGTGTCAAACCTCATCTCCAGGGCAGATGCAGTCTGCCAGACGGGCGAGAGGCGAGGTGGATGACCTCCAATCTCCAATGCGATGGGAATTATTGTTTGGCATTAGTAGCGTCCTTGCTCCGTTCGTAGCGATGCCCTTTGTTACTATAGCGAACATTGCTCCTAGTAGTAAGGCCAGGAGCCCCGTTCGTAGCGTCCTTGTTTGGCATTAAGAGGTCTTTGTTTAGAGGTTTAATTCATCAGCTCTTGCAGTGATTGACAATCGACCTGTCGGCCCACATAGCTTGGTCGACCTGTTGGTCCGTGATAGACATGACGGTTTGATCGGACAAGCTGTTGTTACATTAATGAAGTGAGTGGACACTCAAAGTATGCTTTCTTTGGATCTGTGTTTGAAATTCATGCTCAAAACCATAGAAGCCATCGAATTGATTGAGAGATGTTGAGATCCTCGGTGCTGGTCGTCCATTTAACCAGGGCTTCCCCAGGTTTGGTGCTGGTCGATCCTCATCACTTGAGACCTCTTCAGTTCGGCGGCACGAGAGGCCGGAGGATGTTCCAGCTCCACCAGCGCCAACAAGACTACGAAGCGAGAGGCAATTGAATGCAATGGATCCGTGCATGGTTGGAAGGGATCCTGGTTCAGTGGGTGTAAATTTAGGTGCTAAGGAGAGACGGTGTAGCAACCAATTTTGATAAACATTCCCGTGCCCACAATCTAGCTCTTTGCCCTGTGTTTGACCTACCTGTAGATGCCGGTTTGGGTGCAACATGGTGCAAGAAGATTCTGGGTAAGATAAGATCATTCATGTACAGTAAGCTAGGCAAGATCTGCCAGCCCAGTATGAGAATTGTTGTGAAGACCCACATGAGAATCGCGTGAGACATTGAATTTTGCAGCTTATCACCAAATGCAATGCCTCGGATGAGGCCTTTGTCCCTGGCGGGACTGCGGGCGCTCTCGCGCTTGCGCAGAGAGGCCAGGTATTCCTAGAAGGTTCGTCCATGTTCCCTTCCAAGAATCTGGTCACTTTCACTGCCAGGATAATGAGAGGAGGTGGGTCCAGTTCCATTCAGTTGCTTCTTATGTGCCAACCACCCTTGACCAATGGGTCCAGGTCCGGGTGCTGGGAAGATCCGATGTCGCATGATCCGATTTCGGCCCGAAGCGCGGTTCGGGCCGAAGAGAGCGCTCGTGCGATGATCCTCCAGGGTTGAAGAGATGGATTGCCATCGGAGGCATGATCCTTTTCGTTTGCCCTGTCAATGTCAGTTCATTCAGGTACCTGTGGACTTACGCCTAGACAATCAAGATTTGCGATGCGCAGAAGATCTTTGTGCAGTCGTGGAGGCAGAAACAAACGTGCAAACATGTGCAAACTAGCTCGGTGTGCTGTGCAGTTTGCTTTCCGCGTCGGTGTGCAGAGCGCCTGCCCTGCTCCGTCGAGAGCGCCAGGCCTGTGACCGAGAAGCCCAGCGTCGCCAAGTGCCGCCGCCCAAGACGTTGACGCTGGGCCCTTGGGGACGCTCAGCGAAAACAGCGATGTCTGAGTCGCGGTCGCGTCCGGCAGGCTGTGTGTGTTGCACCCCTTCAACGGGCCTGTGTGTGCACTCGGAATGTTTAGAGTATGGGTAGAGTCGAATTAATTCTAATAGCTTCTTGTTAGTAGAGCATGTTCAGAGTTCGGATGCACCTGGATGATTTTGAATGGTGTGGTTTCACACGGATATTGTTTCTTCAGTGTGTTGAGTTTTTGGGCAAAGGAAACAAGATCGAGCTAAGAAAACAAGACCTTCTTCTGTCGACCCGTGTGACATGTATTTGAAAAGACGACTTGGTTCCTTTTTTCTCGAAGCAGCTGGACGAAGTCCTTCAAGCTCCCGACGCCGATCCGCTTCACTAAGGACATGAGCCTGGGTGTTCTTGCCATGGCACCTTGGAGGTGCTCCGTGAGACCAGTTGCGAAGCATCCGAAGCTGCAGAGGCAGAGGGTCTGGGGATGGGCAGGTCTAGGGAGGAAGTCCATGCTTGCCGTTCTGACTTTTGGGCTTCTTCTTTGGTGTGTCAAGAGAATTCATTTCGTATCAGCCTTATCAAATCTGTCAATCAATCCCAGCTGCCACTTGAGTTTGGAGCAAGAGGGTGCGACGTTTGGTGCTATAAAACTGATGAGAGGATTGCAGGAAGTGAATGCAAACATATATATATATGTAAAAATGAAGACGTTGGCTTTGCAGATCCGATCAGCGACTATCGGCACGCGTCCACTTCAAAAGTCGTTACACGTCGTTCCTCCCATTTCTTCCCCTTTCAGCTGCAGGCCTTTATGACCACCTCAGCAATCTGGACCCGTTGGCCGCTACGAAGCATTTGCCTTTGCGAGCTGCGCCTGAGCGTCCCGCTCGAGCGACTGGGAGCCGCTCTGGCGGCGGCCGCTCCCAGCGTTCTGCGTGCCGTGGTTCGCGGTTCATGCGGTGCTTGCACCAGCAGTACTTTTGCCCGTCTCCGTCCTCCTGCCCCCGATTTTGACCCTTATCTAAATTTTAAACTCAAGATGTATTTAGGCCAAACCATACAGCAGTTTATGGCCAAAGAAGTATTGAACTTAAGATGTGCATTGTGAGACGAACACCCTTGCCCCTCGAATCTCTCATTTACCTCAAGGTTGTTGTGGTTTGTTACGTGTGGATGCGTGTGTGGAGAGAAATGCAATGCAATGTATACAACTTGTACCGGCAAATACAGCCGATAACACATAGCTAGACATTCCATATCATGTACAAAGTAGTCAATGTATATAATATATATATAGTCAGATTGTGTCAGGTTCAGATAATGTTGGAAGGTTGCCAGGGTTCTTCATTGCAGAGGCTTGCAGCACTTGAGCTTGAGGGGTACAGCGTTGTCCCTGCTTCAGGCAGGGTGAGTACCGTGCAGTTGAGGATTTATGGGCAGTTGCACAGAACAACATGCAGAACGAAAATGCCCTAAATGTTGCTGATCATTGCACTCATGAGAAGTAAGTCTGTGCTTTGTGAATTTGAGGGAAGCTTCAGTACTGCAACTTGCCTTTGAACACTCACAAGCGGCCCAAGGGCCAGCAATATGTTTTTCTCATTATGCAGAAGAAACCAACGCATTTTCTTGGTCCCAATCGCCAATCAAGGAAAGAACATGAAAGAACCATACCAACCATAATATCACACAATATCACTATATCGAGTCGGCATTTCAGCAGCAAATCAGCCGGGTAAACCATGCTAAACCATAAACCCACCGTTTGTGCTGCTTGGGGGAGAACTGTTTGGGAAACCAGAGAAAGGTTTTGTAAGAGTCCCAGATGGGTATGTACTGTTGCGTGCAGGATGTACTTTTTGCCCCAGGCAGTTTGAGGGGGGGGCGGTCAATTCCCTGTAAAGAGCGATACAAATGGGACTTTGGACGTTTGTTGTTTTGGCATCAGTTTTGGCGATCGGATGACAGATTATAGAACATTAGACTACACTTGCATTGTGAATAACAATGCAAATGCTTCATAACAGTGCAAAGCGAATGCATGCGAATGTGAATAACCCGAAACGCTGAACATCCCTAAACCATACACATCCATACACCCCAATGATCCCGAAGGCCCTACTTTATGGATTGGAGGTTGGTACATCCTGGTAATACTGTTAAGATCTTGGAATCGAGTGGGCTGAGGCCTTTGCAGGCCACGAGCTAGAGCTGTTGGACTTGCTCCTCGGCTTTTTGAGTGTTGTAAGAGGATGGTATTTGCATTTTCAGCGTTAACTTTTCGTGTTGCTCGGGTGTTGAAGACATGAGGATCATGAGGCCTGGAGCCGTGAACGGGTTTGCATATAGAGAGCAGAGAGAGAGAGAGAGAGAACAAGATGCAAGAATCATGATCAACAATCAACATGGATTAACTAATTCGACTATATAATTGGTTCATTGCTCACTACTGTGAATCTCTAAGGGCTTGATACCTCGGACTCTTCTCTTCTCTTAGGAGTGGGAATGCCTTGACAGATGATGATTTCGAGATGCTGCTCAATTTGGCAGGCTGTCGGGAGCCATTTGGGGCGATGTTATGGTGCACCAAAAGCTCCACAGGCGATGTCTTAAAGTGTGAATCTCACTTGGGTGCAGTCTACATGTGTTGTTGTACAACGAAGCTAGCAGGCTGTCAGCAGGTCCTACATGTTTTTCTGGACCTTTGCCAGGTCCCAAATCGGCTTTGAAGCTTCACGGCTTGATCTTGAGCCCGGCACTGAGACTAAGCAGAGCTTAAGCAGTCGTTCCAGAGATCCGTTCTGAGTGGAACATGTTCAGATTCTCAAAGCAACAAGTAAAGATCTACTGTGTGTATATATATATTTACTTATATGTGTATATATATAGTATAAACACATAATGACATACTCCCCCGGGTACCTATAATTCAGATGCAAAGCACTACAATTGTTCAGCACTGCAATTGCCCACGATGTTTCTACAGGCCACTAGCACCAGGAAGCGTTGTTGAACATGCTTTTGGGGCTTTGCAACAGTTCTCGAATTCTTCGGTTGGGAGAATGGAATTCTTCGCAACTACAACACAAACCTTGCTATTCAAGGTCCCCAAAGTACAGGTACCAGGGGTGTACCATACATGATATATGTATATACTGTATACTGTATGCAGACTAGAAACGCTGTGGCGCTGCGCAAAACCAAAAGGAGCGTTCCTGCATACCTCACCCTGAGGCTGCAACCCATCCATCACGCAGGCGCCAAACTGGTGCACACAAAGTTGTTTTGTTGAAATGGAGTGCCAGACAGGATGTCAACATATAGCTCACGGATTTTCCACAACTCCACACATATCGCTTAGCATTTTCAGATGTATGCATGCAGTCATCACAGAGCTGAAAGAAGCAAGGGGAGGGGGTAACTGCTGTGAACTTGGTGGTGTTCGGTGTTCAGTTCAACCACTGCTGACATTTGATGTGTCTTTTTGTTTCAAGTCTTTGCCACCGTTTTGGTTCCAGCCGGTTTTTTGAGAGAGACGAGATTTCCACAAATCTGTGTTCAGTTCAGGGGTTCAAACATGTTTGGAGGAGCTCCACCGCACAGGATGACGGGTGAGAGGCCCATGACCCGACAGGTCTCCTTGCAGCAGCTGCTCGCTTCAGAATGGGCAAGTCAGCTGCAACTGCTCGATCTTTCTGAGTGCAGCCGCTTCGGCGTCACCGAAGGAGGGTGGTTGTCAATGGTGGTTGTCAATGTCTAAATGCTAGTAACAAGAAGCTACTAGTAACAAGTGCATCGCTAGTCGTAACAAGTGCCTTACTAGTAGTAACAAGAAGCTATTAATTTATTTTTAATGTTTAATTTAATGATCCTGAAGCAAATCCATGGATACTTAGGACTGAGGTGTTACTGTCGAGGAGTTAGCAGCAGCCAGAATCGTTGTTGGACCAGATCCAACAGAAAGCTCAGCCACTAGCTGAAAAAAGGTGCAGATTCTTCACCTGTTCAGCCTGTTCACAGGTCCTGTGCAAACCTGTCCATACCCGGAACCCAGTGATGGGTCCCCACTCGCCACTCGCTCCCCCTTGTTCCGCTCGCTTCCCTAGGCATCGGACCCAGCGGAGCGCTGCTCCTGGGCAACTTTCTGCAGATGCCAAGCAGCGTCCTACGGGACCAACGATGCGTGCCACGCAGACGCGCGCGACACGACGTGCGTACAAGTGCGATAGAATTGGTGATGGCACCTTGCAAGAAGGCTTTTGAACTAGTGATGTACCATCCTGTACTAGAGAGTTGGGATGAGTTGGGATAGGAAAAGACAATGGTACTTATTCCAGCAGTTTGTTTGTACAAGGAGGTTGCTGATTTTTTGTTGCCCGGATGATCCTGGAGACTTTTTCTTTGGCCACGGTTGACTCGAGTCTCGTGCTGGACCATGACGGACGAGAATCTTGTGTCGCAGCTTCGCAGCTTCGCGGTGTTTCTCAATATTGATAACGAGGGGAAGGAAGTTCTGAACTAAAACACCATCAACATCCATCAACCGTTTTGATGAAAAGCGCCGGGCCTTGGACGGGAGAGTTGGCAGGACCTGTGCCTTTATCGTGCTGGCATTGGGCTGGAAGGGTTGTCAGGAACTTAGCTATGCCCTGCAAACGAAGAAGTTGTGCTTAGCAACAAATGTCCTAGGCTCGTTGTTGGAAAAACGTAGCCTGAGACCTGAGAGTCCTTTCATTCAAAACATCCCACAACCTCGGGACATGAGTCACTTCGCAGGCGCCGCCTGGTGGCCGCTGCGGCTGTTTGCTCCAGCTTACGTGCATTGGATGTGACTGCGAATGCTCAACGCGAACATCACTGGCTCGAGGACTCCGACCTGTTATGACGCTGCCAGGGCCACGGTGGGGTCCAAGAAGGCCCATTCCACATGGCAAGACATGGCCCGGCCATTTGTCCATAGCCCGGGTGTTGGGAGGCGATGTTTGACCCCTCCAGAGTGTCAGATTTCTTGGTCCAATGTTGACAACCTTCAAGAGCCAGCCCTCCAGGCTCTTGGGAAGCCACTGGCTGAGTGCTTGGCACAGCCCAAAGCGTTGAAGATCTTGACATTGTCCTGCCCAGAGCATCAGTTGAAGGTGAGAAATGGAGTGAGATCAACATGTTGAATGGGGCTATGAATTCAAACAAGTTCAAGCAAAGATCAGCAAAGCATTCGTTATTGTTGGATTGCTTCGTCATCAAACAGTAGCTTTCTTCGTAGATTCGGGTTGCGAAATCGCAGGTTTGCAGTAGATATAGTAGCAAGGAGGGGGAGGAGGAGCAGGAAATTGTGAAATCGAGTCACTCTGACAACGATCATGAATGAATCACTCTGACAACGAATGTGTCGGCCTTTCCAGGCTGCAGAGATATTTCATACGTTGCCGCTGCGGGTGATCCTTGTGCCAAACGAGCAGAACAATTACAACAGGTGACGGCCAGCCTTGTTGCAAACTATATAGATGACGTGTTATGTCCATCCATCAGATCAGGCAATTGTAATAATCTGCGGGCTACCTAGGTATCAAAAGGTTGTCATAGTATGGTATCATGCCCTCTCACTCGTAGCCTGCCTACTTGTGAACAGACACTTGTTGATCTTGCAGTCAGTGCAGGCCAATGTTTCTTGGGCACACCGACTGATGCCGATGCGAGCGAGCAAATGGACTACTGGACCTGTAGTGCGTGACGGATTCAATGCTTGTCAGTTTGATAGTTGTTGTACGCATTTGGTGCAATCAGGCAGCTCTTTGTTTTCCTCGGTGTTGTGTCCATCCAGGATAGAATAGCTTAAATCCAGTGCCACATCAATTAATCGTTTGCAAGGAAATACAGAAAGTTTGCTTCTCGCCTTCTCGCTACATTCTGCAGTCATTGCTCAGCACCCACCGTGGAGGGTGGCGGTGGTAGCCATGTTTCGGCCTGGAGGGAAAGGCGGCATCAATTATGGCCGCTGTCCCAGTTCAAGATCATGAATTAGTAAGGCCAGGAGCCCCTAGTAGTGTCCTTGCTCCATGAATATGAGTGACATCAGACATTTCCGGAGTTGTGTAGGTGGTGAGCAAAACCGATGTTCTGCAAAAAACTGGCCCAGAATCTGCATGGCTCCGACGTTCTGAAAAATCTTGCAGAGCTCAGGTGACATTCCGCCAAACCAGACCCTCTATGTCATCCCCTGCATTGTTTCGATAGCCAAACTCAACAAGCAAAACGAGTGTGTTTTAATCCGAACGAGTGGTTGAAACTTATCCGAACGATGCTTGGCGAGGGGTATCCGACACGACTAATGCACATTTAGTATCATTTAGTTTTATGTCACCGTAGGTCCTTAGGTTATTGAAAAACGAGTAGTGGTTGCCAGATTTGGCTTCCTCGTGTACAAACTTAGCTTGGCTCTTGAAGCCTTCAAAGCTCGGTCAGCCTAGAATTGTTGATACAAGCCGGTGCCATTGTGAAGCGTCATTTAGTCGGGTGTTGTTCTTGGAACATTTTGCAGATGCAACATCCGATGTCACAAGAAGAAACCAGTTGTAAAGTCAAGTGGATCAAGCTTGTCAATCCATGGCAATCCTGTGTACAGCTTGGCACAAACAAATTTGTCATGCCAAACGTTTACAGAGTGTTCTCTCCATTCTGATCGACGTGCGTGTATATATTTTGATTATTTTTGATTTACTGTGTGCCTACCAAGCTGAACATGAAAGAAAACTCACATTTGACTCACACAAACTGCATGGTCGTGTTTGGTTGTTGAAAAGCAACTCAAATATTGATGTTTGTGCAGGCAGTGCATGTTTGTCTCTTCAGAGTTATGACTTTTTGCCAATGACAAAGACATGTTCATGCCAGGTGAACAACTTGAATGAGAAGATCAAAGTCCCAGAACTGAAGAACTGCCTTCTGGAGCTCTTCTCGAGCTATGGAGAGGTGCGAATGTCCATGCAACACAAAACAACAACTTGGGAAAATGCCTGGCCACATGATTCTTCAGGGCTTTCTGGCACCTTTCGTCTTGGACAGTAGCTCTCGGGCACGTACATGGTGGAACCACGCGCACACAACGATGCAAAATTGCTTTAGAACTGTACTGCAACGCTCACTTCCATTCTTATATGGTTGCTAGATGGTGCCAGGATATGATATTGTAACAATGTCTAATCCATCCGTGTTCTTTTGACAGATTTGCAGAGCCCAGTCCATCCACAGTGCGCATCGAGTTTCTTTTTGCCAGTGCCGAAAGGTCATTGACATTGTTGCAGCTGGAAGCCTGACAAAGAAGGGTCAGGCATAGCGATGCACAACCAGCGATGCACATCAATCGTATCCCTCAAGCTGCTGTCGACCTTTTTGCCCATTTGGCCAAGTTGCAAAACCAGGGACAATCTGATGCAATCACTGAGGGAATTTGCCAGTCCGATCGGGTTGCAGCTCATTTTCCTTGACTTCTATTGTAGCAAGTGCTTGATGCGCTTTGTCTTCTTTGACCAGAAAGCCATACTCTTGACTCATAGATCATAGATAATCATAGATTCATATAGATTCTATGACCATAGAACTATGCGATCTATGATCAATAAGTCAGATAGATCATAGAATGATCTTTGAACGTTCACTCGCCGTTCTCGACGAATCTCGCCGACAGAGAATTCCTCGATTCCTCGGTGCGCTCTGGGTCGGCGAGAGATCTCGCGCCAGGCCTTTGTCGTCTTTAGGGATATCTCGTGCGCGACCAATGCGTGCAGAGACTCAGATGGAGCAAACGAAGGGGAAACACATGTAAGAGGGCACGAGAGGGTCATGGCGACAGGGCATGTTTGCATACTTTGCAATCACTGATTACGTGGGGCGTGTGCTCTTCAGTGTTCTTTTAGGTGTCCATTGTTACTCGTCATTGGTGTCATAGCCCATGAGTGACTAGTGTTTGTATATGTTTGTATGCTTGCATGCTGCAGCCACGGCACAGGCTGCGAGCGCTGAATGGCTTTGTTTTCTTAGATAAGCCCATGAAGATCAACTACTGCAGGACCGCCAGAGCTGAAAGAGACCGAGCCCAGACAGGTTCTTGTTCTATTGGTGTCCCCATACACCTCCCGAGCCCAGACTACATGGCTGAAAATTGCGTACAGTTGGCCGTTGGAGGCCGTACCCCCTGCTTCAAAGATACCAGTAAGTGCAAAAAATAGTATAAGTACAGCCGACAGACTCCTTGTGATTCCAAAGGTGTCACACAAACGCACCTCGATGGCGGGCACATGTGCGGGCGGCAAGAGAAGACCGATGAAGAGATGCGAAAAACATGAAAAGACATGAAAGACATGTAGGTGGAGGCACCTAACAAGGAAACCAGATGACCAGGGACAACCGAACCTCACTAAAACGATGACCAGGGGCACCGGGGACAACCCAATTCAATGTATATAACTGTGCACGTGCATGCTAAGGTCCAGGCCAATGTGCATGAAAAAGATAGAAAGGCATGAAATGACAGGTCGTGAAGACAGGAGGCACTATTATTTTGGGCTCACTCCGAGCTCGCAAGATTGTGCGTTTGGTCTGAATGCTACATGCCCCGAACAAGCCTCGGTGGAAAAAGACGCCTAAACAAAGCGAGTAAATCAGAATGGCACATGCTTCCAGGTACCAGACCAAAGGAATGGCACGTGGTTCACCAGACCAGAAGGAATGATGCACGCTTCCAAAATTACAGGTACCAGACCTTGTCCCAAACTGTACCAGACCAGGTTCCAAAACTATACCAGGCCAGAAGGACTGACACATGACCGCCAGACTGCAGGCTGGCGCCGTACCCCTTTGCTTCAAATACACAAGTAAGCACAAACAAAGTTAACGCTCCTTGTCATTCCCAAGTGTTCACACAGACCCTGTTGCAAAGAGACAAGTAAGCACAAAAAAGTTAGATACTGCCGACGAGTCCCTGGTGATTCCAAAGGCGTCACACACACTTCAGATAAGACCTTGTCCTTCAGGCTGCCAAATGCCTAGAAGAAGCCTAAGTGAAAAAGCGAACCGACTACCATCTCAAAGGTTCCAAAGCCCAACAGCTCTACTCCAGCTCCAAAATCGAAGGTCAGTCCCAAACTCTCCACGACACGTGACTTGCCGACCCAAACAGGTGCATGGACGTCATCAGGCGTCCCTGATGATATCCAAACGGAGCGTATGAGGAGTTTCGTTGAATGGGGCCTCATATATGAGCCACGATCAAAACATGCGAATAGAACTTTAGTAAAGAGGGGGTAGGTTTGTGCATGAAACCCTGTAAAACGATAAGGTCCAACTCAAAACCGATAATGCCCGTGTTTTCTGTTGAAGAAGAACAATAAGTTTGATGGTGCCTCATATGTCCTCTCCATCCCCCTGCTTTGGAGCCCTGCTTTTTCCAAGGGTTCCATGCACACGGTGAGAGGATGCGAGTAGCCTTGTGGTATAGTCCCTCCTGCATGGGTGGCCTTGCTCATGAACCTGATCGTGACACCGTCGAAATGACTCTGATGACATCGGATGACATGAACATGAGCGTGACGTATTTTCAGGCTTAACCGCATGTCATTCACAACGGTCCGGCTACAAGTACTTGGAGTTGATCAAAACTCAGTGTCTGTGATAGCTTCGTCGAGCGCGGTTCCCCAATCAAGCCGCGCTCCCTTGTCGATCTATTGAGTCGCAGCAGCATGGCTTCGTTTGCAATTTACGCACATTGCTACCTCTGGGGGCTACAAGCCTCAGACTCAATCTCAAAATCAGCTTGGAACAACAAGGTGAACCCTAAAGGAGAAAGGCTTGCTCGGAACAAAGAGGTTGACTCAGTGTGAACCCCGCACACCAACCTAACAGACACGGGTATGGAAGAGAAGTCACATGAACAGACCCGAAGAGAAGACATGGAAAAGGTGCGCAGCGGGTGCATCTGTGTGCGTGTGAAGGCGATGAAAGGGGAAAACAGATGAGCTGCGCCTCATTGAACAAGCATGAGCCGCGCATCATCCTAGTGTGGCTCTACATGTACACGTGCACACTAGGGCCCAGGCAGGGGTATGCGCACAAGAAGCAAACATGAGAGGACGAGACCTGAAGACAGGAAAGACATGAAAAGAAACACGGATGGTGCGGTTGCAGATGAAATGGAAAACAGGTCAGATTCAAAGGGAACAAACGGGACGAAGGGCAAAAAAAGTGCAATTAGTAACAAGTGCATCGCTATTAGTATCAAGTGCTTCGCTACTAATAACCATAGTTTCCTCATTAACTTCAAACCTGGGGCACCTCCTCACTAGTGCGCTGCGCGTGTTCTCGGAACTAGCCCCTGCAATCAAGGGTCGTTGGGTTATGCAGTAGCTGGGACAATTTGTTTGTTGGTACAAAAATGTCAAGCCTGTTGCGTTGTCTTCCGCTAATTCGTTTCCATGCGCACAACGCTTAAGACATCTTGCGAATGTTTGCTTGAGATGAATGCTGCTGTGGAAGTGGAAGTTTGCGTTTCCCACAAGAGTGAAAAAGATATTCGGAGATCCCAGCTTGCACGCACGGGGTTGTTTGCATAAAACCATATATATATATTGTGTTCATAGCACGCGACCCAAAGCGCACAGAACGCGCACAGAACACGGAGAAGTGACAGCGGATTGTTGCATCATTCCTTCATTGAAGGTAAGATACAAACTGTCCGTTGCGTGCACGAGAACCCAAGTCAAACGATATTGGTTTAATCTAGTCCGGAAATGGCATCAACATTGTGAGTATTTTCTGCATCGAGCCACCGCACAGGACCAAGTCAGACATCGTAGCCCATGAGGACAAAGAGTCAGTTGGAATCACGTGATTTCATCTTGAAATAGTTTGCCCTGTTCCTTGTTTCTTTTAGTTCAGTGTTTTGTTGCTTCAGTGAGTAATCACAGTGTTTGCTGTCAGGATGGGACTTGGAAGCCTCGCGCGAAGCTTGAGGCGCAGAAGGAAGAAGCTAAGAGGCCAGGTCTTTGCAACAGAATGTGCATTGGAGTCATTGGAATATGGAGAATAAGAATGTCAATCTTCCCAATTCTACATTGATATACTGTATTCTTTATGTATACTGTATAAGTATATGATATAAAACTGTATTTCTACCACCGCCAAGCCCACTTCCTGAAAGGTTAACTCGTCCTGTCAGATTGAAACTGGTGGCCCCTGAAATTGAGACTCCCTGCGGAAGGCAACGGTCAGTGTCAGATCCACGAAACGACGATCGAGGTGGTTGTGGTGGAACTGTGCACTGAGTCCCCCAGGCCAAAGACCACACCAGCTCTTGTGCCGCCCAAGACTGTGGCGCCGGGAAGCTTTGTTTGGAAACGGGTTGTTGGGATTTGTGGCTGGTTGATAAACTCAAATGTTTGATTTATTGGGAACCTTTTGCTGCTTTCCGATGTGTACGCGGTATGAGGAGTTCACTTTGGAAGTAGGTTGCCGCAAGGAGTTTCAGGGGTGATTCTTGGACCACAAACACCTGGTCTTCACTTTTTGTTCATCAGCAACCTGCGAAAGTTTCCTGCAAGCTGAGGCCTAAGATGGCGGCACATCCTGCTGGGTTGGAATCCCCAGAGCTATGGCGCAGGATGTGAAAAGCATGCAGATTCTAAGCTTCAGCATGGTGCTTGGTGGGGGAGTCCCTCCATGTCCACCTGGTCTTCCAAGGGTCTTCGGACCCCTGTGGTTCATTGTCATACTTGGTCATTCTCCCCGAATAACACCTCACACCTGCGACACCAAACCGACTGGTCGTTTGCTTTGATCAGGGGTGATGCGGCAGACGGTCAATCCTCCAACGTGCTGTTCGTGGAGAACTTGCCGGCAGAGGCGGAGAACTTCGGTCGAACCGTAGACGGTCGAAGCGCGGTTCCGAGTCTATGTTTCTTCATAGCCTCTGGCCCAAAAAGGTTTGAAGTTGTTGATGCGAATGCACTTTGCGATGCTGAGAGGGTTTCCAGCAGTTTTGAAAACCTTCTGGCACGGCATTGCTTGATGAGATGGAATTCCATAGCCCTTTCTTGTGGTGCCCCAAAATCCTCTGAAATCCAAAATGCCGCCGCAGTCGCCACCGGAAAATAGACCTGCCGCAGGTCAACGAGGTCATGTTGACAATGCTCTTCAGACAGTATCCTGGCTTCCAGGAGGCGGACGGAACCCCAGCCAGACTGAATTCTCCTCATGCAGAGCCAGACTGAAAGCTGCCCAATTCCTGGCTGTTCAATTTTGAAGTACACGTGTGTATTTATAGTCATCCACGTTGACGCTGGACAGGCGCGACTGATCAAGGGTCGCAATGTGGCCTTCATCGAGTACGCCGACGAGCTGCAGGCGCGGGACAGGTGTGGATGAACATGGATGAACTGGTGGAGTGCCCGGCCAAACTGTGAGAGGAGGAGATAATAGGATTGAACAATGAGGGCCTTTAGCCGAAGCACAACGAACAAGCAAACCTCCCACACAGCGCCACTGGTTCCTCCATGAAACCTTGCTCGTCAAATTGTTTTTTGCATTGGACCAATTGGAGATGGTGTTGGTCAGACGTGGATGCTGTTCTGATCCAAGACTCAGCGAGAATGACGATTCCGACTCACTGTTGCTTGGTTCATTTTGTCCTTGTGACTGTCCCATCCCCAACGAGTCTTTGTCCATGCAACTTGTAGCTTGTGTAATAGACAGGTCTCCAACTAGAGAAAGATATTAGGAAGAGACCCGTGTCCTCCTTGACACCGAAGTTGAGCGGTGTTTTCAATTTGAGCCCGCTGAAGCACCATCCGGACCATGCGAACCCAGCATGCTTGCCAGCATCAAAAACGGGAGAAGGAAAAGAACACAGTCTAAGCATATGTGGTCAAGCCAGACAAGCAAAACGGTCCCAGAAAGTGTTTAAACAAGAAGGGACGTTTGGAGGCCATTGCTCTTAGGACTGGTGTTTTTGGTGCGTCCTTCTTGGAAAGACGTGTTTGTGCAGCGTTCTTGCAGGCAGGCATTGCCAAGCACGGGCTTCAAGGGTTCATGGCGGCTTGGACAAGCATAGAGGTAGTAGCTAGGTAGCTAGTAGAAGCTGGGTAGCTAGCGGCTTAAGTAGCTACTACCTAGGACGCAGGATAGCGCTCGCACTATTAATTTGGCTCCTAGATTTTTAGGGAACCTTGATGTCGGTTGATTGCTCCTACATTCTTCTTTGATGTTCTTGCTCGTGAGGGGGGCACTTCTTGCTCATCCCCAGACACCGAATGGTTTACTGTAAGACGAACATGAAATGATGCATTTGCAGCCCCAGTTGCGAGGGTTAATCAAAATTATTCTGTATCTATTATCGTGATTGATCTTGTGTATCGACATAAAGCAGTTGGGAAGGGGATGGTTGTTTTCGTCCTGTATTTATACCTTTCGCTAAGGTGACCCCTGAGATGCCTCTCAAGATTGCCTTTGCAAAGCAATGATCGACGGTCAACGGCAGAAACACGCTGCTGATTGGGATAGCACAAGGCTGCGATGCATCCCTAGATCGGGCCTCCTTTTTGTAACAATCAGCCATCCACATAGGGTCACGCCCGCCGCACAAGTCTCTCCTCTCCTAGCTCTCCTCGCACGAGTGAAAACGGTGTGTGTGTGTATGTTATTTGATGTCAGGGCTGGACCCGTTTCGCAGGGACATCGCAGAGCGGAAACGATATTCTTGGAAGTGACAAGGTGTGGAGATGTGTGGAGAGCGAAAAAGGGCGACCTGCGTTGATTGGAAGTACACTCTGACGCACACTCTGACATTGGAAGTAGTGGAGTGGATGCCCCGTGTATCCTGCGAAGATCTGGCATTGTTTTGGAGCTTTTGAAAAGGTGAGGCGAAATGAGGCGAACCGCTGAGGCAAAACTTAACATTCAACCTTGTTTCACGGTTAGATACTTACGACAGCAGGGGCAAGAGACGAAGAAAGTGAGGCTCTGTGGTTTTGCAGAATGATGGCAATCGGCGGAGCTTAGGACAGTTCTTCTTCCACCAAGTATGCCTTTTGGGGGGGACTTTTGTCTCAATGAATTTCAATTGTATAGTATACGCTATACTGTACTTGTTCATTTCTTGCGTTTGTGTTTTCCCGAAACTCTGCATCTCAAGGGCTGAGGTTGTGGGCAACCCACAACACTCAGCCCTGAGCTAATGTGTCACCACAAGAGAAGGACATTTGTTAGCTTCTGCCGCACTGATACACCGAAGTAGTCAGCATGGCAGGCCAATTCTAGTGGATAGAGGGGCGATGATGGCCATTTGATCGAGACAATGGCATTCCTTTGAAAGCACAGGACCCTGAATAATGGAGACTGAAGTGTCGACAGCCAGCAAGACCTGCCAGCTATCAAGGGAATGTATGACCAACGGACTGCACAAAGCATCCTAGAGGGCCGTTGAATCAAAAGGACGAGCGTAGATACCAGCTTTGGCCATGTGTGGACGTGGAGCGCCATGCACCCAGCTTTCCAGATCAAATTGCTTGGTATGATATATAGCTTATTATAGCTTGCTGCTTGCTTACGAATCTGCACCTAATAAGACTATCTAAGACTAAAGGTCCGTTCTCGAATGAGTCGGAATCATGTTGGTTGCAGGGATGAGCCAAAGACTAGAGGAAAATCATGCAAAAGAGAACGAGGCTGACGCTCTCGGGAGACAAATGCAGAAGAGTGGCCGGGGGCGTGGGAAAGCCCAGAAGATTGGGTGTTGCTACGGAGAATCCACGGCTCGGAATCAACGTCTGCATGTTCGGATTGCGCTCTCCAGTGCCAGCATGTTTCTGGGAACGTCGAATGACTGTCTAGACCTGCTGTTTCAGGCAGAAAGGGGGGTGAGGTGTTGAGAAGAAACTGATAGCGATGGCCTCCAACCTAATGTTGAGAAGAAACTAGGCAAGTTTGCTTCAGGGTGGCTAACTTGTGCACGACCATCGACCATTTGCTTCAGGCGCGCCGTGGAGGTCACACGAAAGTTCGAAATGCTGAGAAGCTGAAGACCAAGTGCCCGGTAGGATTTTGTGAGTCTTTTTTTCCATGAAGAGGCATAGGAGATCTTGCGCATGCGCTGCGCATGCAGAACAGCAGTGCCAGCTGCTTCGTAAAGAACGCGTCGAGTCGGTGAGTTCCTTAAAGTGGCGCAAACTAGGTACAACTTGGGACCAATGAACTATGTCCCCGTGGTGCGATCTGTTGAAGGGAGTCATGACCTCGGCCGCCGTTTCTCGTCTCAGTGAGAAGATCAACGTTGACTTAAAAGCATGACATGATCGCAAAGCATAACGAAGCACGGTTGCGGTAGATCTTGGACTTTGCCTGGTTTGTTTTGTTGCGTCAAAAACAAGGAATCTTAAAGAACCACACCAGGTGGCCCTTATGCGAGTCCAGATCGCGAGGTGGGCAGGGGAATCTCGTGGTATCTCTTGAAAGTGACTTGGGTTGACGAGTGATGAAGAACCCCCTAGAAATGGTCACGTTTGTTTCAGTCTTTTTCAAACATCTCTATTTGATTGGGAGGGTGAAACATCATGTGTGCAACATCAGCGAAACCCAAGCTCGAGTTTAATGCTGGTTGACAGTGGTAGTCCAAGATTGCAAGAAGAGACACAACTGGTTTCAGGCAGCGACGGCAAACCTGAGCATTTGCCAGGTGTGCGCAATGCGCTGGGGATTAGTACCCTCTTTTGCCAAGCAGGAAGAGGACATGTGCAGGGTAAAGTTTGTAAGATGGGCAGATCAGTAGCAGCCGAATTTTGCACAAGTCTTCTTGCATTGAGATCCAATTCGCGAATTGTCCAATTACTGAAGGTAGACTGTGCACAGAAGGCAGACTGTGCAGAGCTGTGTTACGGTTAAAGCGTTTGAAGGTTACTGCTAAAATTGAGGTGTACTTGGATCTGGACAACCTGACATGTCACCTAATTTACACCGACCATCTGGGCATGTACTCAAAAGCACATATATATATATATATACCTGGGCATATAGATTTGTGTTTTTGCTTGAAAGCCCTGGCTCCATTCTCACCACCGACAGCAGCAATGCATGCAACCATCACAACGGGTTTAGGGTTTAGGGGCCATACATGCAGTTGATAAAATAATGGTTGAACGGTTGGACGTTCTCAATTTGTGAATAATTCGTAGTGTTTGTCATACTGCTGATTCATGATCGCTTCCTTCGTCACTTCAAGTCATTGAGTCGTGGGGTGGCAAGTTTGTCTTCTGTCTATTCCTGATGTTCCACACTGCCTGGCCAAATACGCCAGTGATTTTTGAGGACTTCAATGCCTTCAAAGGTGGCAGTTCGACGTTCAATGCTCGGATTGAAGGCCTTCTCCGCGCGGATCTTGTGACCAGGAATTTGGTGGGGTGAAACACTGAAGTTCTAGCGCCTGTTGAGGAAAAAAAAAAAGGTACAGTGGATCCCTTCAACCTTCCCGAAAGGACCCCCTGTCCTTTTCTTTGCCAATTTGGCCACCGGAGTTGCAACGCAAAAACAATATACCAAAACCGTCCCAGGTCCGCCTTCGGCACCGCCCACGGGTTTCCCCGGGTTTCCCCCTGTCGGCAGGCGCCGAGACCCGAAACCTCTGGCGGCGCCTGCTCGACACGCGACGCTGCATTGTTCTTTTCGATGGCTTCTACGAATGGAAGGCGGATCATCCGAGTGGATGGAGAGTGGTGATATGTGGTGGCACATGAGAAGGATGATCGGTTTGGATATGTTGATCGGTTTATCGGTGTTGTGATATGTTTTGGATCGGTTTTGGGATGCAACGAGAAAAAAGGTGGCACATGGTGGCACATTGAGCTGCATTGGAGTCTTGGCTGGAATGTGCATGACAATCAGGGCTGAATTCCTTTCAAACATGTTTGTTTGGGTAACAATGTCCAACGGAGTCCAACGACTTCTTTTCCAATGTTCACTGATGTCCCAGAGAAGAGCACTTGATTCTGAACGATATCTTGCACTACGTGAGGCTCACGTGAGAGTAAAACCGAGTGACCGAATGAAAGCTGTTGTTTGATCGCAGGCACATGCAGACGGAAAGACGAAGATACCGATGTTCATCCGAAACAAGGATGAGTGCCAATCTTACCATTGACAATGGATCATCATGTTTCGTGCATGGAGCACCTAGATGCTCAGCAGAGTCTTTTCAGACTATGACGATGATTGACGTTTCATTGAGCAAAAGATTTGTGTGTGTGATTTGCTGGTTCTGCTGTTATCGAACGGTGAGAGTGGCGAGCTGGCTACAACTCACCTGTCGTCCGGCTACAACGGTGAACTTCTGAGGTATGATGGTCACGTCATTCCATGGGTGTCCGATGAGGCAGGACATCAAGAAGCCTAAGGCCTTAGCTAGCAAAGTTACAGCCCTTAGCATCCTGATTGAGAGGCCAATGAAGATGAGAAAGAGAAGTCATGCTCTTAACAAAGGACGCAAGAGGCAGCATCATCACTTCAACAAGTTGAGAGAAAATACACATCCATTTGAAGTCAATCCTCTTGATGAGTCAGTGGCATGATGTTTTTCCGAGGGCTGCAAGATGCCGTTCAGGTACTTCAGGTCGTGTAGACACTAGGCTAAGCTAGATGTTGCTTTTCCAGGCACAGTCTTGCACTAGAATCCTGAGCTTGATGTATGATGTATGCACAAAAAGTGATGCATATGGCTACGGCCAGAAACTTTAAGGCATGATCAAGTACCAAAACCCACACTCGATCTATACCCTGACCCAAAGGGTCTGGATCAACATCACTCAGTTGATCCACACCCTTTGGATCAGGCTTGGGTTGGTGAAGGCCTACTGTTCACATGGTTGATTCTGCAAAAGGGGGCCAACACAATGACTTAGTGGAAGCTGCTTGCTGTGGAACCTTGGAAACGATCCCTTAAGGTTTGTCTTACAGAGCCCCTCCCCCAAAATGGATGAAGTGGAGGCCAGAAACTTCACACACAACCTCTCGCCGCCCAGAGTGAACTTAGTGGCGCCCAGTATATATCTCCTTTTTGTGAGGCTTGACCCGCCAATCCCCAAAGTGAACAGAGTGGAGGCCAGAAACGTCACTCCGCAAGGTTGCCGCAACCCAGAAGCCAGAAGCCACCCCCAAAATGAACAAGTGGACGCCAGAAGCTTCATTGTGCAACCCAAGGAGCAATTTGAGCTAAACATGTGTATGAGGTCTTTTGAGTTAACTGGCTTACTGCTTTGATGGAGTTAGGGGTCCCGCGCCGCCATTCTGGTGCAAAAGGGGGCCAACACAATGACTTAGTGGAAGTCGGGTGCTTGAAATGAGGCCAGCGGTGTCCGGAAACTGCGCCCCTTGAGACTTGCCTTACAGAACCCCACAACACCCCAAATGGACAAAGTGGATGCCAGAAACTTTGCACAAAGTGAGCTTAGTGGCGCCCAGCAATTCCATTTTGGAAGGCTTGATAGCTAGAATCCCGCCACTACCCAAAATGAACAAGTGGACACCAGAAACTTCATTTTGGAAGGTTTGCTCTGGAAGCCCATGCACAGACTTGGACGTCAAGTATAAGAGTGAAGAATAGCAATTTAGCGGCAGCCATCAACTTGGATGCGGCAGCAATGCTCAAAGATCTAGAAGAAGAAGAAGCAGAAGAAGAAGACGAAGAAGAATACAGTTTAGCGGAAGCCTTTCCACTTGGATATGGGGGGCGGCAACTGTGAAGGAAGAGGAAACCCGTTTTGCGGAAACCATTAACTTGGATGTGGAAGTAGCTGTAAAGAAGAGGACAAATTGGGTGGAAGAGAAACAGGCGAGGGAAGGCACCAACTCTTGAAAATGAGTTGCTGTGCCCGGCACCTTCGCATTCAACAGTCTTTGTTCAAAAACCATGTTTCATGCATGGCAGCATCGTTGGACAAACTATTAGGTATAGTAACACTGTAGCAATGACCTATTCCTTTTCTGGTTGCCACAGTTTACAGCTCTTTGGTAGACATTAGTAGTGGGTGCGATCATATGGGTATGGCCGGAAACCCTGGATGGATCGTTCGCCAAAGCTTTGATCCAATCCCGATCAAACCAATTGCTCACCTGATCCAACCCACTTGACACAACGAACGACCTTGACAGGCCCCATGACATTCTCATGTTACGCAGGCTTGCATTGTACATCGTACCTCTTTCTGATGCCTTGAGCCCTGATGTTGGTGATGGAGAATGAATTGGCTGGCATAACTCTTGAAAGCAGATTGTGCATTTGCGATGGTTCCGTTGCAACACTCTTCGATGTGTCTCTAAGTGCTTCGTTCTTGTTCGGGATGCCTTTCTTGTTTTCAGCTCTTGTTCTTGTAGTCCATTTGAGTTCTTCTCCCCTTCGTTTGAGAACTTCACCTTTTGTGACGATTGAATCAAGTCCAAAGAAATTGGCTGATGGCGCTTTTGTTTTTGAAGTAACTTTTGTGGTGAGGATGTTGGGGTTGAAGTGATTGCAAATTGGATTCATGTTCTCCAAAGGATTACATTGACGGCCGGCTGGCTGTTTGATGTCAAAGCAACAACAGCTAGATCAGTACCAACATAAACTGAGGAAAACCGCACGTTCCACCCAAGGTACCTGTGTTGCATGAGACTAGGAACAAGAAGCTACTAGGGGCTCCTGGCATCGCTACTAGGAGCAAGGATGCTACTCTAGGGGCTCCTGGCCTTACTAGGAACAAGAAGCCACTAGGAGACAAGAAGCTGCCTAGTGCTTCCCAGCAAGGCCTGATGGACATGCACCACTCTTGCTCGCTGGTCTTTACGATACCTGGCAGGCAAGCATGTTTGGTATGATTTGGCAAACCAAAACCACCAAATGTTACAACATATTAATATATATATATATACTGTACCTGGCTGCGCGACTGGCAGGATATTGCAAAGATATACTCTTTTGGCATTCCTGGAGGACGATGCTAAAGAGCCCAAAGATCTGCTGGAATCAGCTTGGCACCCAGTCAAACTCCTGAAGTTCCAAGCCAAGACAAAAGCAATGAATTCTGGCAAGTGTTTGAAGGAATTGATCCGCACTGACCAAATCATTCTACTAAGTACGGATACATGAGATAATATTGGACAACAATACATCCCACGGGATATGGTTAAATGCCCCCATAACTAAACACGAATCAGTTTCGCATTCCACGGAGCTTTGGGCTCGAGATCAGGGTATGCTGACCTGCAGTCGCTGCAAGAAGTGGCGGCTTCTGGCAGGTCAGTGTACCGTCTGCGCATCCATCGAGCGGTTGCGCGCGGCGGCTGGCAGCGATCGGTTGCCGGCTACCTTGGAAGCTGAGGCCAAAGTAACCAAGGTCTTGGATTCCGCCTACTACTCCATCGCCAGGCTCTTTCCTGAATCGGACGAGGAGGAGCCAACAAAGGGAGGGGCGCCTCCCAAGCGAGTGGTGGAGGAGAGGAGCACCAAGGGAGAGAGATCTCCCAAGGAAAGTTCAAAAGAAAAAAGAAAGAAAGCAGAGGATCCAGGCGAAGAGTTAGGTAGCAAGAGAGTCAGCGAGAAGGAGGAGCAAAAGAAGGTAGCAGAGGTAACAAAGAGTGAAGGAAGCAAGACATTGCCCAAAAAGAAGGAGGAAGAAGAGAGTAGGAGAGCAAGGAGCCGAACTCCGCAGAGGCAGAAGGAGAAGGACAAAAAAGACAGGGAAAAGAAAGATAGCAAGTCAAGATCTGTGAGCGGTTCACGGACCAGACGGAAGAA